TCTTTTCTTTTTTTTTTTTTTTTTTTTTTTTTTTCTGCGATGGAAGTGTTTGGGTGCGTGTGTGGGTTGGAGCGGAAAGCCGTGGGGACATGTCGTCGCTGACTTACGAGAATTACTACCAGCAGGCTCTCGAGGACCTCGCCTTCATCTGGAAAGAGGACGTGAATCTCACCAAAGTGCGCGTCGCGGCGAGCGGACGGCCACGGTACGAGCAACTGCTGCAGTACTGGTCATCGCTCTACATTCAGTACCTGCGCACGGCGAAGCGACTTGCTGCCGTGCACGACGCCCAGCTGCAGCCACAGAAGCGCTACGATGTTCGCACGCTGCTTGACACCTGTCTGGGCCGGATGTTGGAAGTACGAAACCTTCTCAAAATGAACTGTGGAGAGTTTGTCAAGCTGGATGATGCCGCGCTGGACATGAAAATGATCCCGGAAGATCTCGAGGTGCCCATCCCGCGCTACTTTGTCGAGGATACCGCGTCGGAACTGCAGGAACGGCGACGGCAGATTGCAGCGCTGCAGACATATTTCAAGGAAACCGAGGCGGATGCGCCCGTGTCGAAAGCTCTTGCGAAGGATCCATCGAAGGTTCCTGACGTCCCCGCCGGTGCCAGCGCGGAGTCCAAAATTATGAGCGTGGATGACGCAGTGACACTTTTGCAGATCAATGAGCGTGGGCGGCAGGCACGGCAGCGTGCAAAGTTTCAAATGGCAATCTACTGGCAGCAGAAACATGCCTTGGAACACACAGTTGAATATGGCCACGTCACTGGGAAAGAACGGGCGGCGTTGGTGGTGCAGAAGGCGGTTCAGGCCTATCTTGCCCGGAAGCATCTATTGAAGGATCACAGGAATGAGCTGGAGCTACTTGGCATGCGCCCCACCGCGGCAATTATTAGTGATGCGGAACGCGCCGCCGCTGAAGTCCGACTTGGGGAACGCAAATCCCGTCAACGCATGAATGAGGCGAGTTATCGACAGAAGGAGATTGAGTTGGAGACGCGTCTGAAAGCCGAGGAGGGTCCACGAACCATGGAAGAGATGTTGAATGAAGTTCTCACCCGTATGGCCTATGCACGGATGGAGAGCAAAGACGACGCCCCACCCACGTTTCCAACACCAGAGGAAGGTGGGAGTCGCAAGTATTTGGAAACGTATGGCAGCACCGTCGGGACTGCCGCGGGAACCGGTCTTGCTGCTGCGGGCGGTGGTGGCGGTGGTGGTGGTGGTGGTACAACCTTTTGGGGGGTTTCTTCTCCCGTGTCTGGGAGGAGTGCGCCCGATGGTGCGAATGCGCTTAGCCACAGGGAATCCGTAGCCGTACGGTCATCATTGGGCGCTACGCTGCTCCCGCAAACACCCTTGCGAACGAAGGGCGGCACGGCACGACGCAAAGCGGAGGAAGAGGAAAGCCTTCCGGCGATGCCGCCGAGTGTTTTGTGGGAGAGTATGAAGGCGGCAGATGACCGTTACCAAAATTTTTGGAGGGGACGTTTTGAGCAGACATATCTCAAGAATTCGGATCTTGATCAAGCAGCCGATGAGGGACTTCTCCGCCAAGAACTATTAGAGGGGCCGCGTGGTATATTAGAGCATGTGCGACATGTGGTGGACGAACTTATTATGATGGAGGTGGAGAACTTAAAGAAGCGTCTGGAGATGGAGCGACGTGGTGGGAAAAAAAAGAAGGGTGGAAAGAAGAAGGGACCAAAAAAGCCGCGGGCACCAAAACTAAAGGATCCGACGAAAGGGACAGACATTGAGACATTTATGAACAGTGCAGTGTATCAAAATGTGCTTCAGTTATCGGATCCAAATATTCGACTGGAAAATTATTTGGGCTATGCGACGATCCATGGATCGCCGCTGGATGCGCTGTTGCGTACGCAGAAACCCGATGAAGAGATTAAAAAGAAATGGCAGCGTATTCTAAACAACTGGGACGCCAAGGTTGAACAGGCAATGAAGATGAAGAAGGATGTCTTTCAGAACCTCTTTGATAATTACCTCAAACAATCCTCGTGGCTGAGTGAACCCTCTGCAGCGCAGGTGCGCCAGTGTATAGCCGAGTACGCCATTCTACCGCTTGGCTCACAAGTTATTCATGATTTAGCACCACACACAAAAACCCTTCTTATCTACGGCTTTCCTGGCAGTGGCAAAACACAGTTGGTGCATGCCGTGTGCAACCATAGTGGAGCCAACCTCTTTAACCTATCCCCAGAAATTTTTGAGACGAATACAGGGCTTGTGGGCATCATCCAGATGGTGTTTCACCTTGCCAAGGTGTTGGCCCCGTCCGTCATTTACATTGACAAGGTCGAAAAATTGTTTTTACGCAAGAAGAGGAAGAAGGGCCCGAAGGATCCACTCATGGCACGGGGGAAGAAAATGAAAAAAGAGGTCCTTAAAGGCATTGCTGCTCTTTCAACCACCGATCGTGTACTGGTCATTGGCTCCTCATCGGCGCCATGGGATGCGGAATTCAACGCGATGGTGAACAACTTTCCGCACATGATTCACTGCGCCAATCCGGACTACGCCTCTCGTCTCATTATGCTGCAGAAGTTGATTGCGCAAAGAATGACAGATACCAGTGCATTAAAACAAGAAGATTACCACGAATTGGCCCTTCTCACTGATGGGCTCACTTCTGGGGACGTTCACCACATTGTGGAGGAGGTAGTGCACGCTCGGCGCCTACGACGTCTTGCACAGAGACCACTTACGGCATTGGACTTTTTACCCGCAATTACGCACGTCAAACCACCGAGTGAAGAAGATCGGGCTCTAATGAAGGAGTTTTCTTTGCGTTTACCGCTTCATCTACGCCGCATCAACCCGCCGGTGGACTTGCCGGCGCCCGAAAAGAAGGAAGGCGGAGCCAGTAAGAAAAAAAAGAAGAAGGAGGTGGTTGGGTGATTAGAGCCACCACGGACATTACTGATGTTGACAAGTAGCTGAAGAAAACCGTGATAATTTTGAAATAGATGTACAGAAATATGTCTTTCCTCTTTCCCCCTCTTACTCCAAATGCATGTTTTTCTCTCACGACGATGAGCGAAGGCGATCCTGGGTGTATATAATATCATATATACCTGGGTTTTTTTTTTTTTTTTGCGTGTATGTATGGTGAGGAAAAAAAAAAAAAAGAAAAAAGCGGGGTTGAAGGAAAACAATACCAAAAGTCATGTGGGTTCCGATTTTTTTTTTTTTTTTTTTTTGTTCTTTTTTTTTTTTTTTGCTTTTGTTTTGCGGCAATTGAGTCCGGCAGTTGGTGGAATGCCATAGGCCACATAGCCCAATGAAGGTACCACGATTTCCTGTGTACATTGACCAGTTCTATTCGGAAGATAATCCCGATGCGGTGTATCTACTGTCTCATTTCCACACAGATCACATGAAGGGGCTGTCACATTCATGGTGTGCGGGTTTAATTATTTGCGAAGCGGTGACACGAGCACTGCTTATTCAAAAGTACGGAGTTTGCATGGAGAAGTGTTCGGTGTCATTGCCCTTGTTTCAAAGAACGCCTTTTTTGAGGATGGTCACAACAACCTCTTCTAAAGTCGCTCCAGATAGTGCGGAAGAGAGAGAATTTGTGCTGGATACGGTTAAAGATAATGGCAGCGATGAGAACTGTGGTAGCAATTTTGGTGAGGATGGGATGGTGATGTTGTATCTCTTACCTGCTTTCCACATCCCGGGTAGTGTCATGTTCTTTCTTGAAACACCTTTTGGTAATGTTCTCTACACCGGCGATTTCAAATACGACGAGTACGCCAGACGCCGTCTTGATCCCTTCTTTGCCGATCATTCTGTGGATCATGTATACGTGGATGATACATGGTTGCATTTGGGAATCCCAGAGGTGTCTCCCTCCATGAGGGGCAATGAAGGTACACGGGTGCTAAGCAAAATGCTCTCAGAGACGGAGTTGGAAGAAGCTATCGAGGCAGTTGGTCGTCGTATGGACTGGCGTGTGCGTGAGTTTTCACTTGAAAAAAATTCTACCAACCCACTATGTGGCCCGTACGTGGTGCGGGTGTATTTACACAATCAATTTGGTAAGGAACATATCGTTCAACGCCTTGCAACACGGCTTGGGGTTCCAGTTGTCGTTGACGATTCCCGGTACGAGCGCATTCGTCTTCTTGCCTCGTTCAATGAAACGACTGCGGAGGTTCATGAAAAGTTTTGTCTCGTTGCTGACCGCTTCGTAACCTATGCGAACTGCAAGTCATTCCCTCGCATAGAGGTGGTCTCTTCCCTTAAAGAAATCGCTCCCGAAGAGCTTCGGGCTGCCGCTGAGAGAAGTGGGGGGACACCGCACTACGGTATTGTGATGTCTGGCTGGGCTCTCCTACGGCGACGTGGCGGTGGAGACGATGAAGCATTGGTATGGGAAATACCAACGACACTGCACTCCACGCCGCAGCAAATCATTGATTTTATTGCGCTGTTGCGTCCCATGTCTGTGACGCCGCTGCACTACAAACCTTGCCGCGGGGCAATGGTGCTGCAGCGACTCGGACCCTTTTTGCGGCGACCGTACGTGAATCAATTTTTATCCGTTGCGGATAGTCTGAAAGACGAATCGGGGGAATGGAGGCGCTGCATTCAGCCTTCTGGCAGCAATAAACAGGAGGTGGTGGTTTACCCACCGAAAAGAAGCGGGTTTTGTATCGGTCCGTCCTTCAAGTCCGAATTGTCGCCTCACCCGCATAATGCCTTTACTCCCGGGGTGGAGCGAGAGGGGCGCAAGCGACCACGCGAAGCTTTTTCTTCTTCAATTCAAACCGTGCGCCATGATGACTCATTTTGTTCTGCTACGCCGTCTCTCACTCAACTGGCAGAGTTTTTTGACCTCTGAGGAGTGAGTAGGCTTTCCGCTCTCTCTATTCTATGGTGTGCGCGTGGTGATTTTTTGGTTTGGTGTCACATCTCAAAATTGTTTTTCTTTCGGTTTTTTTTTCTTGTCTTACGTCTCTATCATTTCTTCAAGTCTTTTTTTTTTTTTTTGCGGTGTAGGTTAAGTGGCTTTTTCTTTGTATTCGTTGTTGTTGTTTCTATTTTGCGGCAGGTTCCAATGGCGGAGGATAAACATAACGATGAGTTGATGGAGGTTGAGGAGGTGGCGGTGTCTGACGGCGGCGTCGCACGATTTGCGCCGGTAGACGTGCAGAGCGGTGAGGAAAAGTATGAAGTTGTGTGGCAAGAAACGGCGAAGCTGCTGCGTTTTGATGAGGGAGAGAATCAGTGGAAAGAGCGCGGACAAGGCACCGCGAAGATACTGCGGAGGAAAGATGAACACGGCAAGTACATGTTTGTTTTTCGCCGCGAGGGCATCGGCAAACTAGCGGCGCAGCACTACCTTTTGAAGTCAATGACCGTGAAGTTTCATCCTCAGAGCGAAAAGGCGCTGCTTTGGATGGCGCACAAGGACTACACCGATGATGAGGAGGGATTTCCGGAGAACTTTGTGATGCGCTTCACCTCTAAGGAGCTTGCTGAGAAGGCATTAAAGGCCTTCAAGGACGCCATCTCCGCATCTACTGTGTAGTAGCCTTTTCCGTTGAGGTGAGGACATTTTGGAAGGGGATTTTTTTCCCTCTTTTTTTCCTTGCTCTCTCTCTCGTACTCTTTCTGACGCACGCTCTCATTCACTTTGTTTGTTTGTTTGTTTGTTCGTGTGCATTTGTATGTGTGTGTAGGGTTTACGTAATGTTTTGTTGTTGTTTGTTTGTTTGTTTTTTTCCTTCTGCCGTCATAAGACAATTGAGAAGAGCAGGGCATAGAATTGAGGTATTTGACACATCCTCTCCTTTCCAAATGACACCATGGCAACATGAACGGTCTGTTATAAATATGTGGGTTGAGGAATGAGTGCATAAAAGGGTTAGAGGAATATGTCTATTACTAGTCTCTCTCTTGTTACTGCGGGATTTATTTTTATTTTTTTTTTATTTTTATTTTATTTTTTTCTCACCCTTTCATATCCCTCTTGTCCTCCTAAAAAAAAAAATAATAATAATAATAAAAGGAATAATCCCTTTGTTTTGTTGTTGTTCTTCTTCTTCTTTCTCTCCTGCTATTTTTTTTGACCTCCACATAAACATACATGCACACATAATCTCTGCCACATCGTCTCATCACATAAAAGTAAATTACGCAGCCGGCGTGTAGCGTTTAATACGAGAGACAAAACGAAGAACTTCTCTTCACGCCGCTATCAAAATCAGTAAAAAAAGAAAAAAGAAGAGAATAATTTAAAAAGAAAAAAAGGGATTAGGGACTCTTGGTTTGTTTTTGTGATTATTTTCTCTCCTTTAGGATAGGGAGGGAAGGGGATTAGTTTTTGTCTGGCGTTTTGCTTCATTTATATAATCTTGCACATTTTTTGATCTTCTGTGGGTTTTGGCGGCTTGCGTTTTTTTTTTTTTTTTTTTGTGTGCGTGTGTGCGTGTGTGTGTATTTTTTAAAAGGAGGAGTAACTGATTGGCGCGAGTCTTTCGGATCTTGTGTGTTTGTGTGTGAGAAGTAGCAATGGACGATCTTAGTGTTCATTACCTGCGGATGGCGAACGGCTCTCAGAGTCAACTTCATGACCCGGCAGCTGTGGTAAATTTTGTAGAACAGATGCAGCTCGTGGTGGAGCGCAGTTCTGCGCCAAGAAAGAATTTTCTCATTGACACGACCACTCCGCGTGGTGATGTCATCATCACGGAGGCATCTGCGATGAAGCCTGGCAACGGCTGGATCACTCTGCAGGTGACGGAGGGGATCCGTCGCGGTGTACACGAGTGGTGCGTGAAGATTGAGCACCAAGGGGAGACGACAGATGGCAGCGGATTGATGCTGGGTATTGTGCCGAAAAGTTTTTCCAAGTACGACTCATTCATATCACAGGGAGGTGGTTGGTGCCTGAGCCGTGCGGGAAAGTTTTACGGCCATTGGAGGCGGCAGGACAACAACGCCAGTGTTGTCTTTGGTGCCGGTGACCGCGTGATATTCCTCCTGGACTACGAGACGGCACGCATGACGGTGCGTGTGGGTGATAAGTCGGTTGTGGGTGAGATCAGTAATCTTGCCCCCGAGGTGTACCCTGCCATCTCCCTTCACTACCGTCATCAGTTTGTGCGCTTTGAGTACCACAAGGTACACGACCGTCATGCGAAGAAGCTGAACTGGATTGAACGTTTTGCCTTTCCGCACGCCTCTGTGTACCTACCTCTGACACCCGATCAGTTGGAGAAGGTCCCACTTGATTCATATGTTTTTAGTTCATTATTTAATGAAAAGGAAGGTCAAAACGGGCGGTGGAAACGGCGAAAAGGCTCTACTGCATCTTCAAAAGGTTTAGATGGAATTGTTGCTGTGACCGAAGAATATGAGACGGCGCGGGCCGCAAATGCACGACTAACAGTTGTTCTTCGGGCCATTCAGGCTGTGCGGCGATATTGTGGTGGCGGTGTTATACCCGCAGAGGCATTTCTCGACCGAAATATTACAGCAGAAACACTGCGCAAACAGCAGCATGCACTGTCAAGCCGTGGTGCCGGTTCCCGCGATGGTATGGACGCCGCTCTGAACTGTGGGGCATTGGTTCTTATTCACATGTTTGCTCACGCCAGCATGACTCTGGCCGGCGCCACCATGTTACCACTGATACACAACCTTCAAGAATACCTTCGGGGTGTCGCACTGTTCAGTCTCGGAGAGGCGTCCTCATCACCTTACTTCGTGGGTAGCTCCATTTCCCCAGAGGTGATGCTACAAGCACTGGACAGTGTGGCAAGAATTCTTGACCGGACCCTTGCAAATAATAATAGTACGGATGGTATCAGTGGTGTTGTCAACAGCGCAACTACCGTCCACAACAATTACTACAACAACTACAAAGGCGTCACTAGCCGCATGACTTACAATAACACAGATGGCGATGTTGCCCCGGCTTTATTAGAGCTTTTGGTATTGCTTTCCCTTCAGTGTGGTTCCATTAGTGAGGTTCTGCGTACAGTGCGGTACCTGTTACGTCTCCCCTCCAACTTTGTCTCGAAGGGAACATTGGAATGGTTGAAGTTAAATGAATCGGCTCTCACACCCAAGAGGTACCTTCCTAGTCTCAACGAGGCCTATGATGCTATTGAGGAAGAAACAGAGCAACTGACTCCATTTGGACGTGATCTCAATTTACAGATACTTTCAGTAGGCTATGATCATGGCGCGGTTTATATCCATACGGTGGATGGTCTTAGCAAACGCAGCAATGTGGTTGGAATGTATGCCCTTGTGTGCTCCACCAATGAACCGCTTGACTGCTGTCCTCAATGCTCATATTCGAGCATTGCTTTTGGTGAGGAGGGTGTTTTGTTACTATTGACAAATCGCATGATTGCCGCTGGACTTGCCGTTGTAACGTACAGCACTGCTTTGGAGATACGCCAAAAGGTGGCCCTTACAGATGTTCCTCAGTGGCCAGTGAGTTCCCGTTACATGGCAATTGCGTCGGGTCCAGAAAGCCGTTTGCTACTTGTGTACGATGTGGCCAATCCGCCATCAACAGCTGCCGCCGCCTCAGATGTTAATGGCGCCTCTTCTTTTGCTCTGGAGATGCAAGTGTTTTCCGCTTGTAGTTTTCCTGAGGTGCAGTGGTGCAGGTCAATTCAAATTGCTCCTCTTGACCGCACCCTCGCATATTGTCTGTCGCTTAGCAAAGGGAGCGTGATTGACTTTGGCTCGCCAGAAGCATGTCTAACCACCGTTGGAGGTCATGTCACTGTGGAGGTTTGGATTAAAATCCTCGAGAAGGACGACACCTCTGTATTGTATCAACATGGTGATAGAAGCACCAGTGGAGAAGTTTTTATAGAGACAGCACGGCTGGAAGGGGCTTGGCGAATACGTGGCGGGTACCGACATGATTCCCGTGGCATGTGTGTTGTCACGGCTTCTGTTAGCCCAGCCTCGGAGTCACATTTTATTCATATTGCCTTGGTATTTGATGGAAATTGGCGTTTGTGTCTGGATAACGAAGAGGTTTCATGCACCCGGCAAGGGCCACAAGTATCCCTGGAGAATCCTCGACAACGATGGACAGCTGGTAATGATTGTGTATGCCAAATAGCTGCTTTGCGTGTGTGGAAGGGCGGTCGTTCTCTTCGTGAGATTGTCCGTGACTCACGTCGTCTTTTGTCTGGGAATGAGCCGGGTCTGTTATGCCAATATTTCTTTAACGAACCAAATGGAAATGTTGTTTTTAACCATGTTCGATCGGGTGCAGCATTCGGTCGTCACGCGGTTGTCCGGGGGCATTTTTCTCGTGTGGGTTGTTTTGACCACCCGTTGTTACCCTCACTTCGGGAGAGCGGCGCATCCGGGGGTAACACCATGCCTGCATCACTCGAGCCACCGCAGTTGGAGCATACACATGTGTTTTTTAATGGGATTCATGTTGGGCTAATGGAACTAAAAGAGCGAGTTTTCCCAGGCTTTGGAGATTGGAGGCATGTTCATCAAGTGAATTTTTTCGATGTCAAGACCGGGCGGGGTGTATACGGTAGTTATGTGCTGCGACAGAAGAGTAAGATGGGATTCCTTGGGTGTGACCGCGACGGGCACTATTGGGAAGTGTTCCACACAGGACTGAACTCGGGTGTCCCCGGTGAACTGCAGCAGCAGGTTGTGGCCGTGGGGAAACTTTCAGGACTATCCACTGCCGTAAAGGAGAATTTCACGTGCAATTGCCTTCATGGCTCCAATGCAACGAACTGCAGTCCGCCGGATGGGACACATGTGTGTGTCGGCGGCAATGCACGGGCATCGTGTGGAAGTTCACAAACAGAGACCGGTTCACGTTATGGACAAGAATCTCTTATTCAGCTTGACACAACCAATTTCACTTTTGAGTCACTGGCCATGTGGTTGTTGGGGCTCCTTTCATCCTTTGCAGAGGCAAGTGGTACCGAGTTGGACAATCATCTTTTTAATCCTCTACTGGACGATGTGGGAACTCGGTGTGTACATGAAGTGCAGCAGCTTCTTTGTGAGCACTGCCGTGCTGTGAAGGCGATGAATGCTCGCCGTTCAGCAAACCTAAAGGATAGCACTTCTTCCAGCGTGATCTCCACCACATTACGAGTGTTGGTTCGCCTGATTCGGCGCGTGCGAGAATTCAAACTGCATCCTGACACAATAGGCTTCTCCGAGGTAAACGGGAGCGACGACTTTCACGGGTTACTGCATGAGCTGAGCATTGTACAACGGAGGCGCAATACGTCGTGGCAGGAATGCGTTGGATCCACGGCATCATCTGCCATGTCCACCAACAAATCCAGCACGGCAGTGACAGCCACCGAAAGGACCGATCCAAGGGGTAGGGCACTCTCTGTTACCATAAAACGAGGAACCAATCTGCTCGGTGTTCTTGCAGATATCATCAACGAGGCCGGCTTAAATTTGCCGATGGAACTGGCCGCGCTCGCCCGTGTCATCATCCAGGAAGGAGTGACTCTGTTCTTCCCAAGTGCCACAGTGCGGGCAAAACTGCTGCAAGAGATACTGAGCCGCGACCAGCCGAATGCACTGCAGTCTCCGGCTCTCAACGTCTTGCTTGACGCCATTGTAAAGAGCTTTACCGACATGACATCCGCCGCGGCGCTGGTCCATGGAGTTGATTCGACAAGTGACCGCATGAATGAGAGAAGCAAATCTACAGACACCATGGAGAAAAAACTTCTTTTGGTGAAGACAACCCTGTTCACGTTATTGACGGAGTCGGCGAGTCAGATGATTTCCCAGGTGCCAAACGAGCCGCGACAGCAACAGTTGAGTCTTCTCCCTACGATGGCAGAGGCCATTGGGACGCTGCAGCTACTGCTTTTTAGTCAGTGCAACTGGATTGGGGTGGCCGATGTGAATACCGCCGTTGCACGCCGTGGAGTAGAAAACATCTTTTCAATTCCTTTGCCCACAGACCTTTCTCCTGTGCTGAAGGATTACTACGTGGAGTTGTTCAACACCGCCGAGATGATATTTAAAACGTTGATCGAGCGGCTCTCTGCGGCAGCATCATCTCGAGAGCCACCAGCCACAAAAACAGCAGCAACAGAAAAAGCAGCGGTAGTAACGATGGTCCTTGATATGCTTAGTAGCTCGTTTTTGGGGTTTCCACTTCACACAGCCATCACAGCATTACCATTTATGGTCACACGCGATGAATCGGAGTGGCTTCTGCAGAAATTATGTTTGCTTCGGGACCACTACCGTTCCCTTTTGCAATTAATTCGTGAGAATAATTCGATGGGCCTCGACAAAACCGGTCGCTGGCCTCTTTTGGCTTTGGATAATGGGATACTTCTTGCATCGTCCTGGGTGGCTTCTTTTATGTCACTTGGCCAGCTCCCTGCGGGATCGTTGGAAAAAAACACACCGTCGCAGGACTCCTTTGATCATAGCACCAGCATTATTCAGGAGATATGCGATCATCCGCTCTTGGCAGCAGGGTTGCGCTCAACAAGTACCGTTGTTAATAATACACACATGACCATCATTACGAAGCTACAACAACAACGATCATCTTGGGAGGCTATCGCAAGGCGGCAAGATCCAATTGCGTCAAAGACACCGACAGGATTAGGAACGGTCATGTCACTTGCCGCCGTCGCGGTGGTTCATCTGAGTGGTATACAACTTCATCGCCTCACGGATGACGAGCGACATGAGTTGCTTGCAAAAACACTTCTTCAGTTGAAGAGTGCTAGGAATGAGCTGTTGAATCATCGATCACAAAACCCGAATGATTTTGAACGTAATGTGTCTGATGTAAAAGAGCGATGCCTCTTGCTGTTACGAATCCGAAGACTCTCCGAGGCGGATTTTTCAAAGATGTCATCCACCTTTCTTGCCCAATCCCTCGTTGACAGAGTCTTGGGGGGGAAAAAAACGAAGGGTAGCAGGTGGAGGCGGGCTGTATTTCTTTTGCGGGCGCAACGTATGTACCACGAGGTGTTATTGAATGGCTGGCAACTTTTTCAAATTGGTCCTGCCCTAAAACTGGTGGAGCGTGTCATTGTCTCCTTGGGGGTGACGGCAGCTAAATTGCAGGCGGTTATTCAGGCACGTCAAACGACTGCTCTTCAACGCCTGGATGGACTTCGTCGCATGCTGCACCTTTTTGAGACAGATGCCTCGTCTGCACTAAAAGTTGCCTCACTGCTATTCAGTGGTTCTGTGGGCTCCCACCGACAGTTTGAAGCTGGCATCTCGGGTTGCTTGGATTCCACGCGGTGCGCTATTCGTCGGACAATGTACGACATCCTTCGCCGTCTGCGTGATGCCACAGCGGGGTCTCCAGCGACAGGGGTGAATGATAACAGCACTCGAGTGGAAAAAATTTCCACGGCGGCAATAAATAATGATGCCCCGTTCCACCCGACCACACTTAGTGAGGTGCTGAACAGAAAGTGGTCGCCCAGTGATTTCTGCTACCTGGAGCACCTGCATTTTGTGAAGGTGGTCTTTGAAGCGAATTGTAGCATGTTTGAACAAAGTGACCCGGAAAAACTGCGTCAGGAGCGGTCAACGGAGCGTTCCCATCGACACGAGGCCAAGGATGAACGGAAAAAGGCTGCCACTTCCGGCTGTTCACAGGATGTTACGGAGGAAGACGCAAATGAAGTATCGCTGCAGCGCACTCCACAGGAGTATGCGTTGATGGAATCCCTTAACACACTCAAATCCTTGGGTCAGCAGGCTGCACGAATATTGGGGGATGTGTCCCTGTCACCTTGTGAACGACGTGGTTGTACCCTTTTTCTTGATGAATTATTTGGGGTATTGGAACTGGAGCTGCGCTGTTGTGCCAAGTACGCCTCGCAAAAGTCTTATCCTTCCCACGACCGTGTGCTGGAGCAGATCAGTCTGATTTGCACGCTTGCCTGCACCGTTGCTCGGACTCTACCGGAGAAATTTTTATGTAACAGGGAAAATTGTTTTAAAGTAGCACTTCTAGCACTTAGGTTGTGCATTGTGGCTAAAATCCTCTTGGCAATAATCACGGCAGTAGTGGCGGTGACGACAGCCCCAGCCACAACGACGAATAATTCCACAATTAAATTGGTGGAAGTTTGTATCCATACGAGCATACTACTGCTCCACCATTGTCAACCAGCGACTGTCGACTTAATTTTTCTTGCGGAAGAGGTGATGGAGATGACGCGTCAAGCGGTTTGTGTCACGGGAACAGGAGGAGAAACTCTCGGATTCTTTTTGGCCTTTGTGCTTCGCTGTCTTTCTATCTCCAGTGGGGGCCTTGGCGAGATGGGAATGCGGTGCATTGATGCCTTTCACACACTTGTCTGCCGAACACCATGGGATGAGTCCTTTAATGCTCTATGCGAGACCTACCAGTGCGACCTTGGGGCGGTTGCTATGGCAGAGGACGAGGAGGCCTCTCGATTAAGCAGCGTTCGGCTTCTTGTGTGGATGTATGCCATTGGCGGGCCTCTGACAGCTTCGCTGAGTCCCGGCAAGAAGGTCCATATGAGTGTTGACAACATGCTCTCATCCACCGAAGAGGCATACATCGTCGATTGTTCTACGCAATCAGGTGGTGCAACGGTGATTTCCTCCAATTTGTGTTCACTTGTCGAGGAACGCGAGGTTTCGCTTGACAGCCTTATTAATTCCTCCTACGAGGAGGTGACACTTCCACGGGCAGATGTACTATTTCGATTTTTGATTCCCGCACTTGAGCATTTTTTTAAACCTCCCTTGAAGCCATATCTGTCGCCACTCATTTGGGCCGTCGTTGCGGCGCTTCTACGCATCACACGGGCGGTGTTGAAGAACGATCCTGCGGCAAGTAGAGTTCTTCTTGAAAGAGACATTCTGAGTCAAGTGGACGCGTTTGCATTTCGTCTTGCGGCGAAGATACCGCTACCGTTGTGCTATCTATATGAGGTGTGTCCCACCGTGGTGCAGCACCTTTTGCAGTGCACAAGACGCATTTTGTTTGACGCAGTTGCTCCTTCTTTTTCGCCTCTTACAAACAACAATGCGCCGAACAATTTGTCCTCTGGTACATCTTACAGTCAGTCGTCGCCGCGCACAGAGTTGCATCGCAACATAACATTTGGTTCCGCGGTGCCGTTGTCCACTTCCGTGTTTGGTGCAACTGCTCTCTTGGGTAACTCCATGGTGTTTCGATCTGAAGCGGATAATAATAATAACAACAACAACAACAGCAATAACAACAAAAACAACAATAGCAGCAGTGGTGTCTTGCCTTCGATTGCCCGCATTCCACATCCACATTCTTCCCTTTGTCTCACGCCCTCTGTCCTTTGTTTCTGCGGGGCCAAAGACGCCCCAGCTGGTACACTCACGATAAAATCTACCGGCGTCAGGAGTTGTATGCCACTGTGGACGGACGGTGTCACTCTGGAGGCAAGCGTACTTCTGTACGACCGACTTTTCCCAGAGCTTGGGGAGGACTTTGTGATACCCGTGTCGTGGCAAAGACCCGAAATTCAATTTTCACTTTTTTCACTATATGAAAAACCCAGTCCAGGTACCGCCGCTCTGATGCGTGTGGTGTTCAATGAGAATCGTATTGACTGCGCTGTGGAAACTGCAAGGGGGTCAACCGTAATTGTCTCCTCGAAGTTACTGCGTGAAGACTGGGACCACTGGATTCACATTGCTGTGGTGCTGGAAGGCAGTACGGTCACACTTTACAAGGAAGGTGTTGGCACAACGGCGGTTTTGTCCAAGGCGGTGGCGTCGCGTCTGGAGACACTTTTTCGTGAAGGTGGCGCCGATCGGTTAGTTATTGGCAACGAAACACGTGGTGGCATTAACAGTATTAAAAATGCCAGGGCCAGCAGTGGAAATGGAACGGCTAAAGTTAGGAGCACCGGCATCAACCAACGCCATACCAACAACAAAACCAGCAGCAGCAGTAGCAACGGTGAGAACATCAAAAATCAATCTTATCATCATTTTTCTGACGGCGAAACGATGGACGAGATGCTTGTGGCGATTGAGGGTGTTCGTTTCTGGGGATGTGCTCGTGGGCTCAAAGCGCAACGGACGACTGCTGATTTTGTTACGCGTGAGCAGACGTTGCCTCTTGTTGGCGTTTTGGATAGATCGCAGACGACGTTTCGGTTTTCAGAGTCAACAGGGAATGAGATGTTCTCAGAGAACAGGGAGTGTGTTGGAATCCTTTGCGGAAACGCACGTTGGGTCCCCTTCCCTGTCTTTTCTGGGACCATGAATTTGGATAAGTCGCCCCGGATCGACCCAACGAATCAAATAGAGCTTCCTCTATTCATTCCGCGGAGTGAATTTGAGTGTTTCTTTGCTGCACTTGATCGCAGCCAGCTTGTGAGGATTGGCAGCGAATACCTGCAAACCCTTTGCGCTCACCTTAGTCGACAATGTGTTCTTGCAGCCATTCGCCAGGTGGTGTCGCCTGGATATCACGTCTTGGCCATTGAGAGGTGTGACAACAAGCAGCGCGACACGAAGCCTAGTCATACGGGTGATGATGGAAATGAGAATTGCGGAGATGGCCCACCATCTATTACAGGAATTGTCAACCCGCTTCATATCATTTCAAGCAATGACTTTGTGCGGCACCTTATAAATTTATTGCGGTATAGTGACACGGGAGCTGTTAGCGATGAGACAATGAAGGCCGTCTCGGAATTCGTAAAGTTATGCTTCTGTTCGATCTCCTCGGAAAAGGTGTTGGAAAACAGTTTTCGTGATGCCGTAATTGCCATTACTGAGGCATTGCGTGATGAAGCGGAGACGTTCCGCGTGGAACTTCCGCCGTTGTCCTATGTGACGACGGATATTCAGTTGGTGCCCATTGCAATCCTTAATGGGCCGGGCGGCACTGTCTCCTTTGATGCCAACAGTCGTGGTATTGAGCACATGACACTTTTGCGGGACAGAAAACAAAAAGTACTCCTTGCCAAATACCCGGATGCTCAAGGGGGTTGGCCAGAGTTGGAGATACCAGGCGATAGCCCTTGGTTTTACGCTAGACCCATTGTTAGCACACGGGCTGCGACGGCCTCCTTCACGCTTTCAGCCCGATCATTGAAGCCACTTGTCGCGTGTGGGATCTTTGGGGCGATACGTGAGGTGTTGACTTCACATACAAAATATCACTGCGGCTGGAAATGTTTTCTAAATACGCCATTTCTTTCGTTTTTGACGATTCGTGCAGGGACGACGAGGTGCTCTTCTTTGCCTGCATGTCGCCTTTTAACAGCGCTGCTTGATTCATGGCGATACATTCCCCATTTTGCTCCGCATGACCAGAGTCCATTGAAGATTTTATTGGCGCATCTTAATGTGCCTTTGATGGCTATTTTGCACCGTGGGCAAATAGCACCCAACAGCCCTCCATTGCTCTCTCCCACTTTAGGCCACTACAATCTTCGGGTTCAGGGGGCGTTTGAGCTTCTTGTGGCGGCTATTCGTCTTGAAGCAGCTTGGAAGGGCGTTAGTCATTCACATTGCACGCGAATTCGATGGAAACGGCTGATGTCGTTATGGGAAGGTTCCATTGGTTATGGCACCCCTGATTCATCTCCCTCTTCTTCTATCATTACAAAGCAGGATCCCACTGTGGTGGAGCGAGGATATGTGCGACTGGTGCCGCTTCCTTCCACCGGTTCTCCAATCCAGTATCGACCCAAGGCAACAATATTTCAACGAGGTAATGGTGTCTGGTATGCCTCCTGCGATCGGGTTTCTCTCTCAGCGCGCAGCAGTGTTGGGTTTAAGCGGGGACGATTTTACTTTGAGGTTCGCATTCCCGCGGGTGGCGAAGCCATTTCTGTTGGCGTCGTCACGGAACGCGCCCAGCAGCATTCTGTTTTGGCTCCTCGTGGTCTGGGCCATGATAGTGACTCATGGGGATTTGAAAGTGTGCAACTTTGTCGTTTTTACCACGGTTTCCGCCATGAATTTGCCGTTCGAACCAAGTGGAAGGCCCTTGACGTCATTGGTATTCTTTTGGATCTTGAAGCGGAAACTCTGGCGTGTGTGCACGACGGCCGTCAGGTTAGTATATTTGACAATTTAAGGAGCAATCGCGGTAATGATGCGGCGACTTCTTTCTTTCCTGCCGTCTCGTTTGGCACAGGTGGGGTGGATGTCAACTTTGGTGCAGCACCGTTTGCTTGTAGCTTGCCTGTGGGTTATCTTCCTGTCGACCCGTCTAATTACATGGCTTCTCCCACATCAAAACTTTGGACCCTCCTCACAGCTGTCGATGTTGGGGAAACTCTTGCCATGTGTAGCAATAGCCCTAGGGGTGGTTACGCCAAAGCTTTTTATGCTGAGGACGTCACCGTTTCCAAGGATGGGACCATTCATTTGCCCAATCTTTTTGAAAAGGCTAATGATGTCGGAATGGCATATCAAACAGGTCGCAGCGGTCCCTACAGTGTGAGTCTTCTTCCTTGTGATACCAAGGCGAGGACGGTGACAGTGCAAGGGAGTGAGGTTCGTGCCGAGGATGATCCTTGTTTTGTACGGGGCAGTGTTTGTGTTCGGAGCGGACGATGGTACTATGAGGTGGCTCTTCGCGGTGAGGCGTTGGTCAGTATCGGCTGGGTCACTTCCACGGCCACCCCAGACTGGTCTCGCACCAAGTCACTGGGCAACGATAACGAGTCGTGGGTACTTGAGGGAAGCCGAACGACAGCGCGACATAACAAACATCAGCGGAGCGTAGGTGGACAAATGTGGAAGCATGGAGATATCATAGGCTGCATGGTGGACTGTGATGCCGGTACCATTGCGTACAGTGTCAATGGTACCCCGCTGAGAGAAATGCATGACACCAACGGCGATGGTGTCCTTTTTTCTTCTGTTAACTGTGCAAATGGAATGATGCCTGTAGTTGGTGTGGACCCAAAGAATGCGGCATCTATTTTGTTCTTTGACGAAGAGTTGTCATTCCGTCCGCGTGGTTACCGTGCACTTAGTACATCCAATCCCATACGAATAGCAATAGAACTTCATTACTGTACAGATGACCTTGAGAATAAGGATAACGGAGAGGGAGTGGCCGGACCCACATTCTCACCTACATTGGCTCGATCGCTGCTGTCATCGTTAACATCCTTGACGGAATTGAATTTTATGAACGCTTCAGCGTACTGTCTGGAGGACGTACTCAATAAAAATAGCAGCACCATCCGTTACGAGAAGTTTCAGGGGCGTGAAAATGCCTTGCGTCTTCTTGTGACCCTGCAAAATCTTTCTGGCATAGCAGAATGCATGATTCCATATGCGCATGCTGCCTTTAATTATGGGGAATACGATACACTTCTTTCGGGTCCGATTTGTCGGTCTCTTTGGCAATGTCGTGAATATTTGCTGCCGGTTGTGGTCTTGCGGATTCTTCATGGATTTTTTTCGCATACAAATTGCTTGGGAGAAAACGTCAAGCTTACACTGAATCGACGAAAGGCGTTATCCCTTGTAAATGATGCGGATGCCCCCGTTTCTGAGCGTCTACGTGGGAGCCTTTTTGGGCAAGTGTATCAACTTCTACATGACAAGAATGTCTCTCTCTTTTGCACAAACAGGAAATTGTGGTCTGTGAATTTTATTGGGGAGGGGGCAGATGACATTGGTGGCCCGTACCGCGAGAGTATCACACAGCTTTGCTCGGAACTCATGGGTCCAGGTCTTCCGCTTTTTATTCCAAGCCCGAATCAGGCCAATGACATTGGGGATTCACGTGAGCTCTTTGTCGTCCGTCCAGTAATGGAACCGCCTGTAAGAATCATTATGTATCACTTTTTTGGTCGTTTGATTGCTGGGTGTTTGCGCAGCTCGGAACCACTTCCCATTTACCTCTCCAGCCGTATATGGAAGGCGTTGGTGGGGGCCCCCGTTGACGAGAGTGATCTTTGCGTCGTGGACAAGACGACGGCTCAGTCGTACCAATGTATAAGACAACTACTGTTGTCGAAAAGGGGCGAAGGGACAACAGACGAGGAGATTACAGAACTATGCCCCGGGGGATTTTCCGTTGTGGATGATGCAGGGGTGGAGCAGGAACTCTTTCCTGGAGGTAAAGAAATATCCGTGGGTCGACATAATGTAGAGATGTTTCTTGACATGGCGTTGCACTTTAAGTTACGGAGGATGGGGGCGATGCAAATTGAAGCCATAGCGGAGGGGTTTCATCAGGTGGTACCCATCACCGCGGTGTCGTTGTTGAAGTGGTACGAACTTGAGCAAGTGGTTTGTGGACAGCCGGACTATGACGCGGACGCACTCATCGATTCCGCCCGCTACGAGGACCTTGACCCAAATGACGTTATTGTACAATATCTGCGGCAAGTTTTACGACAGTTTTCCCGTCATGAGCGTGCACTTTTTATGCGTTTTGTTAGTGGTAGGGAAAGACTTCCATCGGGGGTGCGGTTAAAGCTGATGCCTGATGCCAATTCGCGTCCGCTGCGGCGTGAAACCTCACAGAACAGCGGTGCTCATAGCAATGATGGTAATGGTGGTGTCAAGGCCTTGGTTGATACGTTCGATGACAATAGGCTACCTCATGCCTCCACCTGCTTTTACTGGCTCTCCATTCCAAGATACAGCTCGGTGGAGGTGATGAGGGAAAGGCTTTTGTTTGCCATTCAGCAGTGTCTCGATATTGACGCGGATTTTGTTGTGCACGAGAATGGCAACTCAGAGGATGAAGTGGAGCCCACGTTGGCCGTCAATGCGGATGAGGATGAAGAGGATTTTGAGGATTTTTCCCATCTGCGTTAAAGTCGCATCTTACATTTTGCCTCTTTCCTCTCCCTTCCCCGCATAGACACAGACACGTTGTCTTGTGACTGCTTTGTTGTTGTTTTTTGCCATTTTTGTTTTCCGTTTACTCTTCCCTCTCTTGTTTCTGGGTGAGTGTTTCATCCGTCTTTGGCAAATTGTCTTCTTTGAGGACGAAAAAAAGAAGAAAAAAAAAATGGAAGGCAGTTGTGTGAGTGGGGAAAGGAGATTGAGAATGTACAAGAAGGAATATCTTTGTGACCCGGCGACTGTGGGATTACTTCCAGTGAGTGGGTAACACGGAAGTGTCATCTCTGCAGAGCACTCGTACCGTCTGTGTATCTGTATGCATAATTTAGGCTTATTCTCTTTTCTTCTTCTTCCGTTTTTTCCCAGTGTATCCCTTTAAGCAAACCAAATCTTTTTTTTCCCCCTCAGTCCCAATGTCCTACCAGCCGCCTTACGGCTATGCGTCTTCACCGCAGGCATCACCGTATTTTCCAGGGGGTAATTACTACAGCACGCCACCGCCAATACCGCAGCAGCAGCCGTTTCAAACCTCTCCCCTGTTTGGCACGGAACAAGAGGCGGTGCAGTGGTTTCGAGCAGTGAGCTCGTCAAGTGGCGGCTACATCAGTGTTCCGCAGCTCCAATCCGCTCTGAGCCAGGGCGGCATGAATTTTAGTTACGCGACAACGGAGCGACTTATTTCCATGTTTGACGCCAATTTGGACGGAGCGATTGACTTTACGGAATTTCAGGAATTACACCGTTATATCTTATCCATGCGAGGCGGCTTTAGCCAGCGTGACACAAGTCGTGATGGTTTGCTCGAGGGAAACGAGGTGCGTATGGCGCTTTCTGCTAATTTCTACCAAGTCGATGATAATACCTTTCAGACATTGATGCGCAAATTTGACCGTAGAAAACGAGGAAGCCTTGGCTTTGATGACTACATTGAGCTTTCTCTCTTTGTTGGCAAGGCCAATGATGCCTTTAAAGCCCAATCCCAGGGAAAAGCCAGTGCGACGTTCAGTTTCAGCTCATTTCTATCGGCGGGGGCCTCCCTGTTGTAGGCGGCCGAAAAAGGGCAGAGGGAGAGGGGTCCTGTGTGCCGCAGGAGTTACCGATGTTGCAAGAACAAAAAAAAAAAAAAAAAAAAAAAAACAGAAAAACGAAGTGTTTTGGGGAGGGTCGCTTGAGGAAATGGAACTCTTTACAAGCTGGGAGCTCCCACACCCTTTCTTTCTTTCTGTGCGTGCGTGTGTATTTTTTTTTCCTTTTGTTTTCCCCTTTTAGGCCCCGAAGCCGGTGGAAGAAATGTGCGCCAAGATTATGAGGCTCAATGGATGACGCGACTGTTCTTGTGCAAGACAGCGCGTTGGAAGGAAGAGAGTGAACTTTCTTTTTCCTTTTTTTTTTTTTTCTTTTTTCCTTTCTCTCTCTTTTGTCATCATTTCTTTCTTTTCTTTTGCTTCTCCCCTCTAACTGCGGCGGAGGTAACCGACAGCTGCAGCGAAAGTGGCAGCGAAAACAACAACCATAAACCGAAAAGGAGAAGAAAAGGAAACACGGAGATGAGGGCTTCCTACAGTCACGATAGGGGCCCCTCCACTAGTCTGCCCCGTTCTTCGTCTGCAGGGCCAAAAGCCTTGCGTCGCCAAAGTACAGCGCAATCACCAAAATCCAGGAGGCGGGGCAGTCGAAATATGTCAGTTGTTGATTTATCGCGGAGGAAGTCACGACCTTTAAACGCTGAAGAGCCGTTGACGGAAAGCCGGCGACCGACCACCGCCCGCACGATAGAATATTATCTCTCACACAGACCATCACGGCAATCATGCGGTGAGGCAACGTCAGCGGGTAATCAAAATCGGCATATTGTCCAAATCGTGAGAAGCGTTCTTCCACAAGAAATTAGAGCGCTGGATTCGATTGAGCTTGGGATTTCCAATCCGGGATCTCTAACTTTAATGAAGATGCTGTTGCCCTTGGAGCATGCCAATTATCCGTTCAATGTACATGAACGTCGAAAGCCCTTTCTCCCAGGGGATGCCGTTGCAGTTAAGATGGGACAACTTTCCATGAGGGTTTCATTTGCCCGTGTTGAAGACATGGCACTGATAGGCTCCAGAAGTTTGAAGATAAAAAATGCGCCGGTTTTAGTGAATAGTGAACTGATTGGAGAAGTCAAGTATTCATGTATACAGCATATTGATTTGGTAGTGCCCGCTGGGGATGCACAACATTTAATGGTACGCCTCAGCGGGGTGATTGGGTTTACGGTACATTTGTGCTTCTCTGAAAGATCACTCTGCTCCGTCTTTGTGAAATTGCTGTTGTCACACTGCAATGGGCACGTCACCCTTTCTGATGAGGCTGGTGTTTTTTCCTCAATGAGCCGTTCTGTAGTCTTTGAGTTCCCGCAGCGTGGCCCGTCATTTTGTCCAGTCAACTGGCGTGCTAAAAGCTTAAGTTTAAATGGGAACTTTGTATTTCCAGAAAACGTCGATCAGGACGGGGATGATACGGAGAACAGATAAACCTTTTGCCTTTTATTTCCCATTATCATTCTATTTTAGTTTCTTTGCTGTTGTGTGCTGTTTTTCTCAATTATTTCTTACGCTTTTTATTTTTATTCTTGGTGGACTGTGGGAGGAGTGTGGGCGGTGATGGGGGCATGTCGGTTATTTTTCCGAGGCGGATTATTTTTAGCGTTTGATTTTCCCTTCGGTGTCTCTCTCCCTCTCTATTCCGTGGATGATGAGTGGGCCGCGGTGCAGCCTCAGCGGGGGGGTGGGTGGATGCTTCGGGCTGTCAGCCCATCCGCAGGCCCGAAGGAGCCACTCCCTCGTGGGCAGCACGCGGGTACAAGATTCCGCATTCACACACACGATGCATGTGTTCGTTGTTCTTTTCTTTCTTTCTTGTAGTGGATGAGGCGGCAATTGTTGAGGGTGTGGGGAATATATTTATTTTTTATTTATGTATTTTTTATTTTTATTTTTTATTTTTATTTTTTTTTTGTGTGTGTGGGAGACCGCATTGATTGGTTAGGCAGTTATTTCATTCCTTTCTTTTTTTTTTTATTGTGTGGTGTTCCTCGCGTTTGCTTCTTTTTTTTGTTGTTGTTGATTGGGTTTGTTTTCTGTCATCACTCCATTTGCTTCCCTACATCTTTTGAAATTGAGGAACCCGACTTTGAATATTTTTTCCTCCGTCGGCATTGTGATGCTTGTACTTTTTTTTTCTTTTTTCATGCTGTGTTGGATCAATTGTTAGCTGCCTGCATGTGCGCATTCGCGTCTGGGCGAGAGGCTGAGAGCAGTGAGGGAAGGTGGGCGGTTTAGGCGTTTTATCTTCTCTCTGCTTATCCCTTGTTGTTTATTGGCGTTTTGTTGGCTTTTCTGCCTCTCTCAACCGTTTTTATTGCGTTGTACCACAGTGAGATGCGGAAGATGCGCATAAGACAAGGAGGATGGAGAGAAGGACTCTTCCTATTCCTTGTTTGGTGGTACCTCTTTTTGTTGTTGTTTTTTTTTAGGCGCATGCAGGCATGTCTGTGATTTTGCTCTTGTTGCTTTCTCTCTTTTTTTTTTCTTTTTGGGTTTTTTTTCTTGACGTGCGCGTGAGTTCCCTCACACATCAGGAGCAATGAACAAATCTGTGGGAATTGCCTCCCGTGCCGACGTATTTCTACAGGAATATTTTGACGCATGCAACGATGAAGAAAAAAGTGAGGAAGAATTTGATGATGAGAGTGACCAGGACTCGCCAAACTACTGGCGATCGTCACGTCTCTCCCCACTCAGGGGAAAGGCGCGGCTTAGTTTGCATCAGCGCAACTCCGTACAGCAGGCACTGATGAGCCAGGAATCCCTTTCTCGTCGAGGTCGAGATGCGGCGGCGGCGGCGTCTTTGCTTTCCAGGCCTTTCATTGCCACTGCTGAGATGCGTGGAGGAAAGACGGGAAGTGCCACGGTCTCTTTGAATAACACTATGGAGGGGACGGCCGCTGAGGGTTTCTTGTTTGATGCCTTTTGTGCATTCCGCCAGTCCCCTAATGGAAGTTTCGAGTTGTCTCCCACTCCCCGAGAGGGAGGGCCGCCGGTGTGGTCGCTGCGAAAGGGAATTGTCGTTGCAGAGACATGGGCGGCAATCTCTTTTTCTTTGCGCTCGCTTATGGAGGCCCTTCTTGCGGGGGCAAATGAGGTGGCACGGGCTCAGTGGCTACTGCAGTTACTTGGGGGGTCCTTGTCTCGGGAAGGTGTCAGTGTCATGGAGGATGCCTTTACGGACTATTCTCAAACGTGCACGGGGGAAGAGGGCTTACTCCTTGCGGCGCGCTTAGTTCTATGCCGCTTCGCTTCCGTGGGGCGCGGGTTGGTGCAGCGGATCATGAGTTGGACCACGCAGGTGCAGGAAAAATGGAATTCCATCAACCCAAATGAATTTATGAAACCTGATCTGCATAAATGCATTGAGAGGTTACTATTGCCCTTACGACGTTGTATTCATTTGTTAGAGCGTTCCTGTAGCCTTGCGGGTAAGCGCCCTTCCACAATTGACTCTAATTTGACGGGGACGAATGTGAACACAGTCACCCGCGCAACTACTCTTATGGACCACCTCATTGTTCGAATGAGTGCATTGCAAGATAGCAACACGATGGATATTTACCGTTTTTACATGGTTCTTTTGATATATTGTGGCTGGCCCTATGTGCTTCTCATGACATCCGCCATCTTTGGATTTGTGACGGATATTGATGCCGATGCATGGCGATCGAATATCCCGCGCATCTTTCGGCTGTCATTTTCTCACATTCGAGTTGGCGATCACGGCAGGAATGATCGCAAAGTAGTGATGCTGCCCACCGACATTCTTTCTTTTGTCCTGCTGTGCGTCGGGTACGAACCGGTTGAGGCGGATGGGCGTTGTAGTGAGGCCGGTGGAAAACCGAAGCGCGATGTAAACCGTGCGAGACGACGTGCGGCATTTTCATCCATGTTGTCATCCCGAAGTTTCATTCTTCGTAGTTTTGCAGCCTTTACGCGAAAAAAGGTTCTTCTCGGCTGGAGTCGTAAGCGATCCGCGGATTGGCGTCCCACAAACGCAGAGTGTTCCACCGGCGATGAATGGCTGGGATTTATACAAAAGGGAGAGAAGAAAACGAGTCACTCTGTCTCAACCCCCGCCGCCTTGTCGCTTACGCTCTGTGGCGATGGCGAGGATGAGTTCTTATCGTTGTGGCCCAATTTTTCCACCTGGACGCTATGCGTGGAGGAAAAGAAGACCCACCATGACTTCATACTCGATGATGGCACGGCGGGGGGAAACGGCAAGCCGTTGCAACTTTGGCTTCACACGTCTTTGCCAGCCGCTCGGTGGGTTACAGCGAGCCTCCTGGTTCCCATTGCACAGGTGGTAAAGCGCCTAAACGAGCGACGACTGGCGGAACTGCTTTCAACTGACATTGCACGTCACCGTGTGGGATACTACAGTGAAAACAACTTGGAGAACACGGATGATGTCCGTTATGATGACGATGATAATATGCCTGCCATAGGTTTCGATATGAACTCTGACACGTGGAATGTAGGCAGCTCCACCGTCTCCATGCGACGGGGTGGTTCATTGTCATTAATTGGTGGCGGCAGGGGTGCAGTTTCGACGAAATTACTTCCAAACGATGTTACATTTCAAGATGCTGTGAGATTAATCATTGATATTGCTCTCTGTCGCGATAGTGAGCGTATTGTGTACACGTTTTTGTATCGTCTTTTCAATGAACCGCACTGGTGGTACCGACGTGACGCGGTGGGTTACAAATACACGGGAACTGCCTCAACCTTCATCTCCACCACCTTCGCGGATGCCATTCGCGGAAAGGCACTCGCCCAGTTTGTGCGACTTTCGGTGGCACCGACGTCTGAGTCCACCCTTTCACAGGGCACTGGTGATGATTCTGCGCTCGAGGTGCTTCGGACGTTCGCCTCCTTTGAGCTTGTTTTTTCATTCCCTTGGGACATTGAGCTGATCTTGCTTCCCCTGAACCTTTCTGTCTCATGGGGAGGCGCGGATGCCATTCAGGAGAAATACGCCTCGTACTTTTGGAAGAATCGACGTTGTGGGGAAGAAGCGAAAGTGAGGAGAGGGAATACAGAGAAGGCAGCGGGGAAAACAGGGGCACAAGAGGAGCGGCAGCAGCAGCCGTTGGACAAACAGGCAGTGAAAGCGCGAGAAAGCTGGAGCTACTGCTTTGGTTACCTCTGCTCCCTGTACTACGCCCAGATTTCCCTTCGGGAGCAGCGGAAAAGGTTGCAGCAGCGGGACATTTTCTCGCATAACATCATGTCTGCGCTGGGCAGCTCGGAAGAGGGGAAAAAACACACGGTACGCCTCACCCGAGGACTTGGCAGCGCCTACTTTGAGCTGTCCTTTGCCGTGGACTCTCTCCTCAGCTTTACACAAAACATTGTGGGCATCGTGGCCCGGGAGTTGGAGGGGGAGTTGACCAAGTTGGGCAAGGTGAGCTCTTGCATGGCGCTGTGCCAGCGAATCGATGCCCTTCTTCTTCGTCTCTGCACCGTGTGTTTCCCTGTGGCGCCGGGGTTGGAGGACACGTGCCCAATGACCGACTCTCTCCCCATACGCGAAAGCATCACGGCGGTGCTCGCCATTGCGTTGAACCCAACCAGCCTGCCGTTGAGGCACATCACATCTAGAACGCAGAATGCGATTGAGGCGCTTGTGGCTGTGGTGCGTGCGCTTCCAGCGACGTCAGTGCTGAAGGAGAAGTTGGGTTCGCTGCTGGTGTTGCTGACATTTAATCGTTTTTACGGCAAATGAAGTGAATGCAATAAAAACCGTTTTGTGTCTGTTTTGTCTGGCACTCGTTGCGGCCGCGCTGGATGAATTGCTGGACCCTCTGTTTCCCTCTTTGTGTCATCGCCTCAGCGCTCACGCCGGACGGAGAGAGCAAAAAAAAAGGGGGGGGGGAGGGGGAAAACCCCCACGACGTTAAGTTGCACCCTTCTCCTTCTCCTTCTTTATCCTTCTCCTCTTTTTCTCACTCTCTTTCTTAATTTATTGTGTGTGGTTTCTTTTGTTGATTTCTACGAGGGATCGACACAGAGCGAAAAGGAAGGAAAAGCCAAAGGCAAAAGGGAGGAAATCAACAAAGACTGGGAAGAAAAAAAAAAAGGAACTAAAAAGGCTCCAAAAGGGAAACCCCAAGAGGGAGAGGGGAGGGGGGAAGGTGTATAGGTGCAATAGTAACACCAATAACCCCAAGGAAGAAGACCAAAAAAAAAAAAAAAAAACGGGGGTGGAAGGGAGGGAAACTGACACACAGGAATAAAAAGAAGAGAACGAAGAAAGAAAATTGTGGGTACAGGCAAAAAGGCTCTGGGGCCTTATCATATGGAAAGAGCGCAGGGGTCAAGGGCCGAGGTATTTTTGCCGCAATGACATTCCCCCCGAATAGGTCACGAGGGCCCTTACAAGTGTATAGATATTATAATAACACCAATAATACCACTAAGGAAGAAGAAGCAAAAAAGAAAAAGAAAAAAAGACGGGGGTGGAAGGGAGGGAAACTGACACACAAGAATAAAAAGAAGAGAAAGAAGAAAGAAAATTGTGGGTACTGGCAAAAAAGGCTGGGGCCGTATCATATGGAAAGAGCGCAGGGGTCAAGGGCCGAGGTATTTTTGCCGCAGATGACATCCGCCCCGAATAGGTCACGAGGGCCCCTGTTTACGCAACAGTTGCTCAGTACACTCAAGCTGAACTTCCTGCAGCGTTTCCGTTCCCCTATTAGCAGCGTTGTGGGGGTTATAATCCCCATTGTTTTCATTCTTGGCACCGTTTTAATCTCGACGACAATAAAAGATGAGCAACATGAGGGCAAGTCCTTTTTGGATTATCAAAGGACACATGATTCAATTTTTGAGCAAAAGCTTATTCTTGCTTCGTTGTGCTACGACTTTAGTCTCAGCGGGATGATGATTGATGGACTTCCATCCTGTGATCGCAGTGGCGGTATTGTGTCTTGTTTTGGCAAAGATCACGGTCTGCCACTTAATGGAATATGCATTCATGTGGGTAAATCAGTTGCTAGGTTAGAAAGTTTGGTTCTCGATTTTTTCCTTCACTATGGCGAAGGCTTGGCACCTATTCCATCATTTGATGATATGGTAAAACTGCAGTGGTTTGCAAACTGTCTTTCGGCATTGCTTGAGAAAAATGGTCAGGATTGGGGCTTTGGCTACTCTGGTTGGCTTTACTTTACCCCTGAAAATGATTACACGGTATCTTTGGCGTCGTATTTAAGAGAGAATACAGAACTCTTTAAGTATGTCTTTTCGCGCTACTTCAACAGCACGAGGGAAGCCGACGATTATCTGAGGCAGGAAAGAGGGAAAGTTGGGAATTGGGGCGTGATTCAAGTGAATGGGGTTTCTAATGACACTAAAAATCCTCATCTTGACGTTTCGATCCGCCTCAACGCCAGTGCTTTGCCAACTACCACAGGGGTACTGGGTGATACTTCCAGTGGTGGTAACTATCATGGCATCCATTATCTCATTTCAGGTTTCCTCACGCTTCAAAAGGAGGTATATACCCACTACATTAAAAAGACATTGAAATTGCAAGAACCACCTGCACCATTTATTTTGCCCATGGGAACAGTGGACCGCGTTGAGAAGACGTTCCTGTCGACCGCGGGTAATTTAGTTCCTCTCCTGGTGGTGCTTGGATTTTTATACCCGATCTCCCAAACCACCAGGCGCATTGTTTTGGATAAAGAACTACGCATGAAGGAAGCAATGCTCATCATGGGGTTATGGCAGTCCGTTCATTACCTCGCATGGTTCATCATCGCAACACTGCAGTCCCTCTTGGTATCATTAGCCTGTGCCATTCTGTTGAAATCCTCATATTTGAAAAATTCAAACTTTGGTGTGATATTTTTCCTCTTTTTTTTCTTCACGTTGACGAGTTTTGTACTGGCAGGACTAATCGCATCTTTTTTTTCCAAATCTCGAATATCATCCATTGTGGCTCCACTCATTTACTTTTTATTTTCCGTCCCATTATTTGCCATTCGGAGCGTGAGCGGCAGTGTCGTGTCAGGGCTTTGTATATTATCACCAACCGCCTTTGCAAAAGGGCTTATGCTATTATTCAACCATGAGCTTTCGACAGGCTTTACCAATGAGGATATCAACAGTCCTTTTGACCAACCGAATATGATTCTCGTTCTTATCCTTTTGGTCGTGGACTTATTTCTTTACACTGTTCTCATGCTTTATTTTGACGCCGTGATACCAAATGAGTGGGGTACACCGAGACATCCGTTGTTCTGCATTCTTGAGCCCCTTCGCAGATTCCAGAAAAGGAAGAGGGAGTGGAGTAGCGATGAGGATGGTCGTAATCCATTTGGTGTCTATGAAACACAAACGTGCGAGGACTCCACAAGGTCAGCCGTGCGGATTTGCGGTTTGACGAAAGTTTTCAAGAGGGACGGTGAGGAATTCTTTGCGGTGAATCACTTGCACTTGGATCTGGTTGAGGATGAAATCTCCGTCCTGCTCGGTCACAATGGTGCCGGCAAATCGACCACGATGAACATGATGACGGGTATGCTTAGGCCGGATGGTGGGGACTGCTACATTTATGGTCACTCCATCCGCAAACAATTGAACAGGGCACGACAGGAAATTGGTTTCTGCCCCCAGCACAACGTTTTGTGGCCAAATCTCAGCTGCTATGAGCACCTTGAATATTTCTCCAGCATCAAGGGGCTGACTGGGAGCCTCCAGAGGAAATGCATTGATGCAATGCTTACCGGTGTGGATCTGCAAGACAAGCGCCAGTGCCTTTCTTCGTCACTCTCTGGCGGACAAAAGCGAAAACTTTCTCTCGCTATCGCATTTGTTGGGAACAGCCGTCTTGTTTTTCTTGACGAGCCCACAGCAGGCATGGATGTGGCGGCCCGTCGTCATACCTGGGAACTTTTGCGGCGTATGTCTGCTGGCCGTACAATTCTGTTGAGCACCCATTTCATGGATGAGGCAGATCTCCTTGGGGACCGCGTCATGATTATGAGTCGAGGATCCCTGCAGTGTGCAGGCAGTAGCGTTTTTCTAAAGTCGAATCTCGGTGTGGGGTACAACATTACTTTATCCGTGACAAGGGTCGCGAGCTCACAGGCGATTTGGAACCTTATTCGATCTCACATCCCACCCGCGGAGTTGTTGAGCTGCAATGCTGGAGAAATAACTTACCGGCTGCCCATGGATTTTGTGAAAAATTTCCCCCCATTACTCCGTGATATTGAAGGACTGGGAGAGGAGTACGGCGTGCAGAGCTACACACTTTCCGCCACAACGCTGGAAGAGGTTTTTCTTAAAATCGCCCACGGGGATGGGGTAGGTGCGATTCCGGCTGTAGAGACGCAGCCGATAGTTCTGAAGGGTGATTATTTGGAGATGGACGAGAAGGGGAATAAAACCGTAGAATTGGAAGAGGATTTTTCTACCACGCAGAAAGATACCCCGCGCTTAGTCGCCCACCCATCGATCAGAAGCAGAAGTAACAGTGGAATAGAAACGATGTCACAGCTTCAAACCATCTGGGAAGCAGAAGTAATTAAAGATGAGTTCAGACTCATGTTTTCTCAGTTGAAGGCTTCTTTGATGAAACGCCTTCTGTATGCTTTACGCGATCGTCGTACACAATTTATTCAAATTGTCTTTCCAGTCGTCATGCTGACTTTTGTATTACTTCTCCAATTGGTGGAATTCTTCAGTTACCCGTCGTTGTTACTCTCATCAAATATGTACGGTGAACGTGTTTTGATTGATTTGGCTGCTTGCAACGGAACCATTAACGTTTCTATACCTTTTGCCAAGAGTACGTCGTTTGGGATTCATGATATTGCGGATACAGGGGATCTCTACAAATACCTTATTGAACAGCAAAAAACACCTTCATTGAATAGGTATACTAGTATCTCTTGTAATGATGTCGTCTATCGGGAACGAAAAATTCTCCTTTACAATGGATCTGCTTTACATTCTTCTGCACTAAGTCTTGTCGGGTATTATGGCTCGGTGTTGTATGCGCAATTACGCGGCGCGTCGACCGCATATCAAGAAGATATTTTTTTGACGCGCAACTTTCCAATGGTTCAAACAACACGTGAGCATGCAACGTCCGAAGCGATCAAAACGGTACTCATGGGCATTTTGGCCATTATTCCATTCTCATTTATACCATCGACATTTGTATCGTTTGTGGTAAGGGAACGGGAGTGTAAGGCCTGTCATTTGCAAAAGGTTTCAGGTTTGCGGTTTTCAATCTACTGGTTGTCTAACTACATCTTTGATTTCTTCTGTTACCTTATTACCGCAATATTGGCGATTCTTATCATGCTGGCATTTGATCGTAAGGAATACATTTCATCTGAAAAAATTGGTGCCACCTTTGTACTTCTCCTTATGTATGGCTTATCATGTATCGCCATGTCGTATGCGGTTTCATTTCTATTTAAGCAGCACGCTTCGGCACAGAATGTTATGCTTTTGGTGAATTTTATTGCTGGATTCTTCATGGTACTATTGGTGTTTATTCTTGAAATGTTTGAAAGCACCAAGACGGCAGCCAAAGGACTTCAGTGGACATTCCGCATTTTCCCCAGTTACTGCATTGGGGAGGGCATTTTGAATTTGTCATTATTAAAGGGGAAAGAGGATGTGAGGGGTAAAAGAATCTCGCCCTGGGAACTTGACGTGGTAGGCATTCCTGCTATTTACATGGCATGTGAGGTGCTAGTGTTCTTGTTGATTACAATCTTTTTGGATCACCCAACGCGTCGCATGCGCACAAAAAGGGCGCTTCATCGGGGTAACGGTGAGGCGGAGGAAATTGCTGATGAAGATGAAGATGTGGCGATGGAGCGTCGCCGTATCCAGGAAACGGAAAACAATCCATCAGAGGATATTGTACGGTTAGAAAATATGCGCAAGGTGTACAGCAACGGTAAAGTCGCTGTGCGCAATTTAAGCCTCGGTGTGAAATCCGGTGAAGTGTTTGGATTTCTTGGCACCAACGGCGCAGGCAAGACGACGACGATTGCCATCCTTTGTCAGGAGATGGCCCCAACTAGTGGACGGGCATTCGTCTGCGGTAAAGACACTGTCAGAGATTCACGTGAGAGTTTACGTTGCATTGGATACTGCCCACAGTTTGACGCATTGCTTGAACTTTTGACGGTGGAGGAACATCTTAACCTGTACGCCGGTGTTCGTGGTGTCAAAAGCGGGGAGCGAGAGACGGTGGTCCGGGATTTGATGGGGCTCTGTGAACTCACCGCGTACTGCAGTACACTCGCTCGCCAACTGAGTGGTGGTAACAAACGCAAACTTTCTGTTGCCATTTCTCTTATTGGTGGTCCGCGTGTTGTCTTCCTTGACGAGCCCTCAGCTGGCATGGACCCTATCGCTCGGCGCGGGCTCTGGACGGCCATTCAGGGCATCTCATGCTCTTGCTCCGTCGTGTTGACAACACACCACTTGGAGGAGGTGGAGGCCCTGGCACACCGCGTTGCCATCATGGTGAACGGCAGTCTACGGTGCCTGGGGAATAAAACGCATCTGAAGCGGAAATATGGAAGCGGATTTGAGATGGTAATCCGCATGGCAGATGATGAGATGCGGGAACGGACGGAAGAATTTATTGCCATGTATTTCCCGGCTGCGAAACTCAACGAGGTCCGGGGAAATCGCTGCACGTACGCCTTGCCGGCCACGACGATCCTCTCCGAGGCGTTTGGTTTGTTGGAGGCGCACAGGAATGAGGTTGGCATCGCTGACTACACCTTGTCACAGACCAGTATTGAGCAGGTATTTCTTCGCATCAGTGAACAGGCGCAACAAGAGCCCGATTCCGTAAATGTTACGGCAGCATGATAGAACTGACAAAGCGTGCAAGGTGATCTGTAAATAGCGTGAGTAAAGTAAGCGTGAATAATATATATTTGTGTGTGTGTGTGTTATTTTGAAGGAGCGGGGTAAGGAAGCAAATGGGTTTGTTTATTTGAAGGGAGTGTTTTTATTGCAGGCTCACCTACCTCGAATTATATACACGCATACATGTAAATATACACATAAACACATATCTATGGGTGGAGCTTTGTTACTATTATTATTATTGCTTGCTCTCCCTATTCTTATCGCCAGGCACTGGTTCAGTGCTTGTGTGGTGGCTGCAATGACGAAAGCTCCCTCTTGGCAATACGTGTCATATACCACCGTGACGTCAGGGTCGATTGCATCCCGCATTCCTATGGGAAGTGAAGAGCCATTAAGGCTTTCCTCATGGGTTTGTTGCTGTTGGCGCAGTGCTGACGGCAGCAACCATCGCCCGGAACAGCCGCGTCTTGCCAGGGTGCATTTGTAACACCATGATGTCCGGGGGGGGCACGTATTGCCGTACCGAGTGCCGGCCATTGAATTTATTCAAAAAAATAAATAAATAAACAAATAAAAATAAGGAAAGAAAGAAATTCAGGCTGGGGAGAATTTGGCTCAAACAAAAGGGGGGGCACGAGTAACGAATCAGCGTTGTAAATAATAGCAATTTTAAGAACAGCAAGAATTCTTTTGGTGTTTGTTTTTATTTATTCGCCTGCTCTTATTTTATTTCTTTCCTTTGGTGGTGGGGGGGGGGGCTAAGAGTTTGATGCGGTGTGACTACGTGCATGTGTATTGGTTACAACTGCGGTTGTTATTTCACGGTGGCCATCCGTCCATCCCTCCCTCTTCCTCTTTTTTTTTGTTTTTTGTTTTTTGTTGGATATATTTGTTGTGCCTTCTTTCTTTTACAGTATTCCATGCTCTCTCTCTCTCTCTCTCTCAGCGTGTGTGCGTGTGTCCCTGCGTCCGTGGGTGCGGGAAGTGCGGGAGATGACATGCACACAAACACGCACATCTCTTTTTCCCTAAAAATGTTCGGATGAATAAAACTACACACAAAAGAACAGAAGAGAAGACAAAAGAAAAGAAAAAATAACTGCAGTTTTGTTGTGGTGGTGGTTTTTCTGACGGTAAGACAGGAGAAATGGCGCGAAGAATCGACTCACCGCCCACGAGAGTTCCGAAAGAACGCGAGAACAAAAAAAAAAAAATGGGAGGGAGACAAGCAAAGTGATTTTTTCTTTTTTTTTTTTTTTTGATTTTTGTGTGTGTGCTGCTTTTTATCTCTATTTTCTTTTTTGGGGGGGATATTTCCTTGCTATTGTGTGCTGTTTTTCTCAATTATTTCTTACGCTTTTTATTTTTATTCTTGGTGGACTGTGGGAGGAGTGTGGGCGGTGATGGGGGCATGTCGGTTATTTTTCCGAGGCGGATTATTTTTAGCGTTTGATTTTCCCTTCGGTGTCTCTCTCCCTCTCTATTCCGTGGATGATGAGTGGGCCGCGGTGCAGCCTCAGCGGGGGGTGGGTGGATGCTTCGGGCTGTCAGCCCATCCGCAGGCCCGAAGGAGCCACTCCCTCGTGGGCAGCACGCGGGTACAAGATTCCGCATTCACACACACGATGCATGTGTTCGTTGTTCTTTTCTTTCTTTCTTGTAGTGGATGAGGCGGCAATTGTTGAGGGTGTGGGAAATATATTTATTTTTTATTTATGTATTTTTTATTTTTATTTTTTATTTTTATTTTTTTTTTTGTGTGTGGGAGACCGCATTGATTGGTTAGGCCCACTGTGAGGTGTTCCCTCTTCCGCATGCGCCTGTTTCACATGCATGCGATCTCCCAGTAATTGCCATTGCAAACGACGTTTTACTTATAAGCTGTTCTCCTTCTTATCCGTGCCGGTATATACATTTAAGGGGAAAAAAAACGAGGAAAGAAAAACGTATTTTTTGTTTGTTTGTTTTATTTATTTATTTATTTTTGGAAGTACATAAGCCTTTTTAATCGGCTGCTTTTTTGTTGTTGCAATTGTTTTTTGTTTTTTTCCCCTACCCCCTTTTCAGGGTTGACATGAATGGCTGGCATGCAGGCAGAAAGAAGAAAAAAAAAACAATTTTTTTTTTTGTTTTTTGTTTTTGTTTTTATTAATTATTTGCAAGTGGAAATGAAAGAAGGAAAGAGAGGGAAAAAAAAAAAAAAAAAGGGAAATCTCCCTTCTGAGGAAAATAGTGGAAAAAATAAAATAAAAGACGTGGGAATGAACCGTAAAAAAGTTTCTATTTTTGATTGTGCCCGTGTGTGTCTCCGTTTGTTTTTTTTTTTTTAGTCCGCGCCGTTGTTGATTTTGATGCGGCCACCGTTGGTTTCGAGTGTTTTTGTTTGTTTGTTTGTTTTTGTTTTTTGGTCTGCTTGCTTGATTCCTTCTGTGTGGGTGAGTAGGTGGTGGGAAGTACGATTCATGTCAGTGGCAAGACCCCACCGGAGAAGAAGTTGCAGTTGCGTGACGCAAAAGTGAAGGCGAAGGCCACAAGAATTTTAAAATAAAAAAAGGAAATAAAACGAAGCATTTGGAGGAGCTTAACAAATTTAACGCCGTAGACGGCGGAAGCGGAAGAAAAGGAGGGGACGGGGAAGAGATTAGAGCAGTCATGTACAGTAGAGTATTGGGCCTCACGAGCGATGGGGACGAGAAGGAAGACGGGGCAGACGGGGTTGTTCTGCTGCGAAACGAAGTCTCGGAGTTTACACCTGCGGAAATTCAGGCGTTATCTCGTCTGGAGTTGAGTGATGATCCCACACCCAATGCGGGCCACATGCCTGTTGACGGGTGCAGTGCCCCCGATGTTGGCTGCAATGGAAGCAGAAGGAAGAGGAGGGTGAACACACGAGCGGCATCTTCTTTTTTGAGAGGAGAACATCAGAAATGTTGCCGCTCCTTCAAGTCTCTTCTCCTCCCTGAAGAACGTGTGGGCGGCAAGGACAGCATGGCAGACGCCGTGCTGAGCACTTCTCAGCTGCATGCGGAGGACCGTGCGCTGCGTGACACTTCCGTTGTGGAGTGCTTTCTGAATCTGACACATCTTTACGTGCAACACAACCACATCACGTCACTGGAGGGTCTCTCGTTGCTGGTCCAACTCACCGTTCTTGTGGTGCACCACAACGAGGTGGAGTCGTTGCGACCACTTGCAGACCTCGGCGCGCTGCGTTTTGTTGATGCCCGATTTAACTCCATCTCCAAGTTGGACCCGTTGGAGGATCTTCCCCGGGAGTCGCTGCGGTACCTCTCACTTTCGTCTAACCCGTGCTGCCGCGGCGAATCCGCGGTGGCCGCAGAACGGGATGCGTACAGGCAGAGTATTCTGCAATGCTGCCCGCTTCTTGAGATGCTTGACGATCTGCCGTGCCAAATGTCATCTTCCAGTGACGAGGATGACAGTGTGGTGGAGGGAAAAGAAGAAGAAGAGGTGCCTGATGAAGGGAGAACGTCGTCGCTTCTAACATCTCATGATGACGCACCGGAGCATCGTAGTCATTTTCGCACACGAATTAGCCATCTGATGAAGATTCACAGAACGCCATCCATGAATGCATCGTTGCCGTCGTCCGCCGTGAGGAATTCGTCAGGATCCAACGACGCCACAACAACCGCTCGTCTTTGTCAACAATTTGAGCATCGCTCCGAGAACATACGGAAGCAGGCATTTGATCATGCGTTTAAACTGCCGTGTCCGGATCATTCTCGCTGGGCCGGCGAGAGCGTCAAGAAGAATGGTCGGGATGACGACAGAGGAGATGATGAAGATGAGAGTGATGTGCTGCCACTTTCGCTAATGCAGGAAAGAGAAACAAAGTCACGTCTTTACGCTGACATTCACTTTGCCTTGGGCACGAGTCATGCTCAGGTTCAGCAGTTGATGGGTAATGTGTGGGAAGATGTCGGCAAAGTGCTCCGCACGAGGCAGGCGTTGGTGAGACACCGCCGTGAGCGGATGGAATTGCAGCGAAAACAGCCCTCTGGTGCCTACACCGAAAGTCTCGCTTTGCTGCAGAAGGAAAATCGCACGACGAATTTAGATAAATACCGCAGATGAGGCCACAGGGGCTGCAGTAGTTTGCGGTCATTATCACCATTGGTGCCGCTGCCGCTGGTGATGCGCCAATTGTGTTGACTGCCACAAAGCGGCTCTGTTTTGGTGGTAGATGTTCCACTTTCCGTTTACACGCTGCTCTTTTTAACATTTTTTCTTTTCTTTTCTTTCTTTCCTCTTTATTTCCCCCTCGCCTTTTTGCCCGAAAGCTGTTGTGTGTGTTTGGCCGAGACCCCTCCCGGAACATCATCACCAGGGGTGCGGTGCAGAGGCGGGAACGGAAGGGGATAAAAATTACGGATTCCTCGCACATAATCCCGCACACACACACACACACACACACCTTTCAAGGCACAGAGAAATAGAAATTGACATCATTCCCAGTTTTGCCGTTTTGTTTTTGTTTTGTTTTTGGTGTTTGCCTCGGGGGAAGGGGGCAGCCCAGAATGAAATCCAGGGATTTTCATAATGGACGCTCCGGTGACGTCTACCGTGAGATACCGCGGTGGTGCCTAAGAAAAATCCCACTTCTGAGCAGGGAGGAAGTTGAGTCCATTGTGCACATGTACGACGACAACACGGGGGAGAGTGAGGCGATGAATGAAGCGACACATAGTACAGAAGCAACAGCAACAAGACCAACGGCTGTCTCGAATACGACAAGGCAAGATAGTTGTCTTCAATTACGCTTAGCGGGGCTGCCAATGTTTCTGCAGACAGAGGCGCTTGTTCTCCGTCGTCACGAGCAACAGTATCGGCAGTACATGAAGGAGCTCATTGACCTATCGGAGTGCATAACAATGGTGTGCGATGGCACCCTGCGGCATCCGTCGCCCAACTCGGCCTCCCATGTTGCGGAGGACTCACCGGCGGCCCGTCGCAAGAAGGATGACGCCCTGCAGCGAATGTTCCGCCGCGCAGAAGAAGTCGAAGTATGTGCTCGCAAAGCAGCGGTCGATCGAGTGCGGAGTGCGCAGCGGATGCTGTTGGCTGCAGCCGTTGCAAAGCACAAGAAGAGGGCGAGGCGAGAGAAGGCGCACGAGGAAGAAGAAGAGGCGTTGCGGGTCCGCAGACGGCGCCTGTGAGCCAAAAAAAAAAAAGGGTTTGGTGGTGGTCTGCGTGTTGCTCGGCCCTTCTTTAGCCGCACAGCCATCGCATTTGTGTGCGCTTTTTATTTGGATTCCTCTTTTTTTTTTTTTTTTTTTTTTCATTGCTTTTGCAGGTTTTTAAAAAAAAAAAAAAAAAAACTTTTTAGGATTTTATTTAACGGTAGGCCATCCGTCCCTCCTCACCCCGAACGCGTACTTTTTTCCCCTTCGTTCCTCCGTTCCTCACCGTCTCAGTATCCCGCCACTGTACTCAACGGGGTATAAAAGAAGCCTTTTGGAGCGGAAGAGGCGCCTCGCATTACGCAGGAAGAGCTGTGCGAGGAGAGGCGAGAAAAGAGGGGGGAAAAAAAAACGAAAGGAAAAAAGAAACAAACAAAAAAAGAAAAAAGGACACACATCACGAAAGAACCAAACTGAAAAAGGAAGAAAAAAAAAAAAAAGAAAAAAAAAAGAAAAAGAAACAAAAGGGGTGATCCAACACCGAGGTCAGATGGCATATGCCCTTCAGCCGTCGTCACATGACGTTGAGGAACAGTCGTCTTTGAATGTCATTCCAAAAGTACGACGATCGCCAAATAGACCGACAAAAAACCCGTACGAAACTTCTTCGAATCAACAGCACAGCGCAGAGTATGCCAATGGAGGAGAAACAACACTCCAGACATCGCACGTGCGGACTAACACCTGGCTTTCACGCGGTAATACCGTCTCCCAAGTTACAGTTGGGTGCAGCGGAATGACGGTGGGATCAGGTGTGCATGAGCAACAGCCCTCACTTCGTATTGGGGTTGTTCCTGAAGAAACCGACAAAATGCGGGATCGGATGTTTAATTCCAATGGTAACTCCCCTTACTTTTCACCCGATGCGTGGCAGGGTCCCGTGCAACCCCCAGCAGCAGTTTCAGGCAGCAAAACCTGGACAAACAGACCATATCTCAGTGTTACAGTGGCACCCCAAATTGGGGATTCATTTGATCGAAAGCTCAGTTGTGTTGCTTTTGACACAGCAACAGACCCTTACGCCGATCCTGGCCTTGCTCGCGATCACAGTGGAATTCAAACGCCACAACAACAGTCAGAAATGACGGCACCATCGGCGCCAAAGTATTTACGACAAACGCCGGTAGAAAATAACCACCACAAGTATGCGAAATACCCTTCACGGGTACCGAATCAAAACACAAATTCTTTTTACGGAACGGAGCAAACCGGACAGACACAGAATGCAGGTGGCGGAGGGTGGGGATATCGGGCACCAGAGTCTGATATTTACGGTGGCAATTATCCTGGCCAAGGATATTATTCCCCATCGCCCCACCATTCGTACCAGCAACATTATCCGAATCGTTACCAACATCAACATCAACATCAACAGCAGCAGCAGCAGCAGCAACAACAACAACAACAACAACAACAAATGCCTCCTTCCTATTGTAATCCTCAGCAGGATCATCAAAATTGGCGCACGGGGAATGATGCTCGGTATGGCTACAACGATCCTAACAACTTTGTTTTAAAGCCCGGCAACTCTAAGTATCCCGGAGGCGGTGGCAACAACATGCCGATGATGCAGCCTTATAACAACAGCAGCAACCCACAACTTACAAATTCTCCATCACCCATGCAACAATGGTCCGATGGACCTGTAGAGCATTCGATGAGCAATATGTCAGGAATGGAATCGGGGTCGCAGCGAACACCCTCGTCTTATTCTACGAGTAACAATAATAGCCTTGCTCGTTGTGTGCCGCCAGGACCCGTGGCAAGAGTTGGTGTTCCCCCAAATGTAACATCATCTTTAGGCGCAAATTATGGTGGAATGTCAGCCAATTGGCGAGCGCATTCAAGATACCCCAACAACCCACAGCAACAGTCACAACAGCACACAGTTCCACCAGCCTACCGCCCTGGTGACGTTGGTGGCGGTTCTCCGGGACCATACCAGCAAACAAATTTGACAGGGCGTCGTCCAGACCACCCTGACAACTTGGGTAATGATCAATACTACGGCCATGCCCAAGTGAACCGTGAATTTACCGCACATCAGACAACAACAAATGCACCAAGTTACTCCCAGCAACCCGGTTAATAAAAGTTTCACGATCATTCATATGTGACGGGCGGAAGTACAGGGAGTAAATCTCCTTTAGGTTCAATAAGTGGTGAAATGCCAAATTGTCCGCAGATTCACGCACCCTATTCTTTTCTTCAATGAAAAAAAAAAAAAAAAAACAGTAAATACATGGTAAAAATGCTGGGAGGGACTTGATTCCCCATCCTATTGGAAGATTTGCCGCTGTCCCTTTTGTGGGTTTTTTTTTTTAAGCAAAAAAAGCAAAAAAAAAAAAAAAGAAGAATCCCATCTTCAGCGAAGAACAATGCATTCTTTTTTCCGAGCCATCGAGACGGTGGAAGCGTCAACTGATGTCGTAGATCACCGGTACAAGGTGATATAAAGGACGGTGGTTTTGTTGTTTTTTACTACACAAGAAGCAGAGAAAAAAAAAAAAAAAAGAACGGGCTTCGTTGCGTGATGAGTATTGCTTCGCTCCTACCGACCCATAGGGGGTGTGATGTCGTGGCGAACCACAGCCCCCAATGTCAACATGGTAAAACAAACAAAACAACCTCCTCTATGGTGTGTGTGTGTGTGTGTGTGTGTGAAGAAGAGCAAGCAGTGGTAGATGGCGAGTAAATTTGATTTTACTTACGAGAAGGGATGCTTGAATGGGAATGCATTGAAGAGTAAAATTTTCCTGTAGATGGAGGTAGGGGGGTACAGTATATTTAATTATGGATATCTCGGGTTGGACTGGTGTAAACCGAATCGAGATGTGCGTTAGAAATTTTTTTGTTGTTTCGTTTTTTGTAGTTTGTTTGCTTTGTTTTGTTTTGTTTTTGCTTTCTTTTTATTTCCTTGTTTTATGTGCCTGTGTTTTGTCTGTGTCTTTTATTATTTTTATTTTTATTTTTTTCTTATTTTTTTTTTTTCTTTTCTTTCTGGTCGTTATTGTTGATTGGATTCGTACGATTTGTTCCACGCACGATTGCCAAAAAAAAAAAAAAAAAAAAAAAGGGGGGTGGGGAAGGGAAAGGGGAAAAAAAGGGGTGGTGTAACGCCGGAAATTAAGAATGGAAGAAAAAAAAAAAAAAGGAAGAAAAGAAGAGGGAAGAAGAAGAGCGAAACGACAACAGATGAGCAGAGAGAAAAAAAAAAAAAAAAATGAGGAAGTGGTGGTGGTGGTGGTGGGAAGAAAAGGCGGTAAAAGACACCACAAAACACACACACACACACACATACAAGCATACATGCATGCATGCATACGTAAATAATTAAGAAGATGAAGAAATTGTTGGAAGGAGAGGGAAGAAGACAACAACGAAAACATTTAAAAAAATAAGAAGACAGAAGGCAGAGGAAAAACAAATTCCCCCCCAAAAAAAAACAACAACAAATAAAAATAATAAAAATAAAAATAAAAAAAAAAGGGGGGGGGGGGGGGGGGAAGACATCAAATAAATTGAAAGTATGGAGTTAACTTCAAAGTGATTATAAAAAGAAGTGGAGGAGGGGGGAAGAAAATAAGAAGACAAAATAATAAAACAAAAACAAGGGCGAAATATGTAATGGGGGTTGTGTCTGGAATCTTTATGTTTAAATGAAATGCCCCCTGGAGTTGAGTTGGCAATATCCCCGGCTGACTATTGTCATTGAATCATTTTTGTGTCTGTGTCTCGTGTGTTTATTGTTCGCGGTGAATTTTCTTTTTTTTTTTTTTTTTTTTTGCTTTTTTTTTTGTTGTTGTTTCCTTTTCTTTCCTTGCATTTGGTGGCAATTTCCTTTTGGAGGGGGGAGGGGACGTCCAGAGACCCAAAACAAACCGAGTTTAGGGGGGAAATATGTGTGGAGTGCAGGGCGGAGGGTGCGAGTGGGAACGAGAGACGTGCGGGCAGTGAAAAGAGCAAAGGGAGAAAAAAAAGGAAAAAAAGAAGAAGAAATATACAAATATATAAAATAATAAAAATGAATTGGGGAGTTTATTATTATTATTTTCTTCTGTTTTGTTTTGTTTGTGTGTTCGCTTTCCCGGCTGGATCCTTCCACCGACACAAACACACATACACACACAGACGCAGACGCAGAGAGGGGGGGTGCACACATGGCCCGGGAAATACGTGGTACTTCTTTGAGGAAGAAGGACGGGCGCGCGAGAGAAAAAAAAAAAGAAAAAAAGGGAGATTGAGGGGAAGGAGGAGGAGGAGGGCATCGCCTACTCAACAAGAAACGGGAGGATGGAAGGTGAGGGAAGAGAAGAGAAATGATTAACGACGATAAGAGCCATAGGGGAAGAACGGAGGGGGGAGGCACTGAGTGGCAGAAGTGGAAAAGCAATTTGCTCCAGGTGTCCTAAACCTCCTTTTCTGCTTCCGATTTTTTTACAAAAAAAAAAAAAAAAGGAAAGGAGCAGGGGTTAAGAAGAGCAGTAGTGCTTTTATGAATGTGATGAATATGTTTACGTGCCCCTAACTTTTTGTTAACCGTTTTTTGTTGTTGTTGTTGTTGTTTGGACTCATTTCTATTTTTGACGTGTTTAATTTAATTATTAATATTTATTTGTTATTCTTTGATGTTTGTCCTATGAATTGTTTTCCCACCACCGTTTTTTTTTTTTTTTTTTTTTTTTTTTCATTTCCTACTTTCTTTGTTCCTTTAATTACGTTTTTTTTTTTTTTTTTATTGTTATGTTTGTTCCTTTTACTGGTGCGTTTACGCGTGTATAAGGATCATGCACATATATATATATATCTGTATATATGTGTTATGTTATGCATGATTATTTATGCACACTTACGTCTGTATATGTACATACATGTATGTTTATATGTAATAATAATATAATATACATGTGTATGTCATCTGGTGGCCTTCTGCCTGTGGAAGGGTTGGAGGAGGAGGAGAAGTTTTGTGGATTGTTTTTGTGTGGGAATGTGGATGGTTGGTACGTATTTTTTTTTAAAAAGAAAAGAAAAAAAAAAAAAACCGACGTTTTATTTTTCTTTTGCCTGTTGGTGACTATTGCAATAATTCTTCCTCTTGTTTCTTTCCCTTTTTTTTTTTTTTTTTTCAGATGTGCGTGTGGGTGTTTGTATCGCTTTTTTTTTCTTTTTTTTTTTTTTTTGAGGGTGAGGCAATGAAATTATTTATTATTAGTTTTTGTCATCGCCGCGTTTTACCGGTTTTTTGCGATCCTTTTGTTGTTGTTGTTAATGTGGCAATTCCCACTGGAGCGCATATTTATTTGTAGTGCCCGCACCGATAACTGGTGTAACTGAGACGGTGCAAACATGTGCGTGTGTGTGTGTGTGTGTGTCTGTTTGTGTATTTATGCAAGTATGTGTCTTTTGCGTGTTTTTCTTTTTTTTTTTTTTTTTTTATGGCACGTTTTCGTGTCTTGTGCGCTCCACGCCGATGTCGTCAGATGAAATACGGAGGCGGGGGAGGTCCTGTGAATGGAATGTTGTTGTGCCACGCGTCATCCCGACCCCCCCGTCGTACTGACGTCAGTGCGGTGAGTGTGGGAGGAGAAGAGAAAAGGATGAAAAGAAAAAAGAAAAGAAGTGAAAAAAAAAAAAAAAAAAAAAAAAAGAATGGAAAGAACTGGGGAGGTGGAGGAGGATTAAGTGACAAGAAACGGCAGTAAAGAAAAGAGAATAAAAGTATACATGTATGTATATATATATATATAAGGAATGCAGTAGAAGGGTGTTTTTCTCTTTTTCTCTGTCAGTGTGTGTGTGTGTGCTTATCCCCTTCTCACTGTCTGTCTTTCAGCCTTTTGTGACATGTTTTTGCCTTTGTGCGTTGTCACCTTTTTTTTTTTTTTTTTTTTTTGGCTCGCGTTGCGTGCCCTTTTTCATCACCTTATGTCTTTATGTCTACACACCCTTCTTTGAAGTCACCAACTTTTTATTTATTTATTTATTTTCTTTTAATTCTTATTTTTATGCATCTTGAAAATGCGACGCTTTTTTCCCTTCTCCTCTGCGTGTATGTGTGTGTTTGTGAATGTGTGAATGTGTGTGTGTATGTTTGTGTGACGGTGCTTCTTTATTTTTACCACCGTTGCTCATAATGTTGTTGTGGGTAGGGAGCCTGTGGGATAAGAGTGCTGTGGAAAGTTGTGAGGATTGTGGTGGGAAATGGGGGGGTGCATTTTCTTCCTGCTGCCTTGTATTGGTGTACAATTGAATTGTTTTCCTTTTGTTGTTGTTGTTGTTTTTTCCACCCTTTTCCTCTCGTGGAGGTGTGTGCTGCATCACGTGAGCGGTGGGCTGCGTTGGCGGACCTCTTCAACTCACTTTTGATTCAGCTCATTTTAGGTCAATCATTGGAGGTCTATTCATTTGCCCGTGCTGTACTCCCACCCAATTCCGCTGGGGGAGTGAGGAGGGGGGGCAGCGGTGGCGGCGGGGGAATGGTGGAGTGGGGCGGGGGGGGGTGGACACAGCAACAATAACAGGAACAAACACGTACTGCGAATACACAAAATACACATTGGGACGGAGGGCCGATTCTCATGTGGTCAAGGCGGAATGCATTCTCCTTGACGGCTATTGGTGAGGCCGCATGTGCTTCTCTTGCCGACACACCGTTGGATGACCGCCGCTCTTCCGCTGAGGTGGTGAACGAGTCGAAGATTAACTTTATCACGTCACTTGCGTATGCTCTTATTCCCGAGGTAAAAAAGGAAGAGGCGGAGGGGATTTTATCGTGGGCTTTGAGGAATAGGGGAGATGATGGCGTAACGGAAAAGTGCGTGGCGGCGCTTAACCAGATTGAGTACTTTTTTACGGGGACCGACAGTGGGCATTTATTCATGTTTCCACTATTTCCACCCTCTATGCGTCCGTTTATGAAAAGTTCCACGGGAGGAGAAACCGTCTCAGTGCAATGGAACGCTGCTGGACTACGACGTATTTTGCACCGACATCGGCGGGAGGAATCGGTGATGTCGATAAGCACACTGGGTACCTTGGTGGCTTCTGCAGGCTCGGATGCCTATGTGCATTTGAGTATTTTTCATCCAGAGCCGCAACACATTGCCTCTATTGCACATCCGGCAGCTGTGCACAGCATGTTGATGTGGGAAGGCGGTTTGTTTGTAGAGAGGGAGAAGGATCCACAGCGGAGATCGGTTGTGGCCGCGGCAGAAAGTCCTATTTTATACATCTTTACTGGAGATGAAGTTGGTTTGGTTCGTATGTGGCGTGTAAATGTTGAGAAACGGACGTACTTCCTTGCGACGGTGTTTGTTATTTCTGCCCATGCCGGGGGTATTGGCTTTGCATCGCCACTGCATTATCTTGCTTGCGAGGATGGAGATCGTGCGAGGGCCCCAACGAAACAGTCGAAGGCAATTCATTGCCTTGCCATTGACGATGATCGGAGACTTTTGGGTGGGGTGGAAGGTGGAATCGTTGTTTGGTCGCTTACAGAATTGCCATGGAAACAGCGGGAAGAGGACCACATTTTGTGCTGGGACATTGAACGACGGCAAATGAACTCCATTGTGATGTCGACACTTGAGTTTAGGACGAGGCGATTGGTAAACATGGGCATGTGGGTAAAAGGAACTGCACTCCTGCAACAAAGCATGTGCAGCGGGGAGAAGGAAAGGGATGGAACAAATGGAAACAGAGCTGATGTCAAGATGATGGAAAAATCCAAGTGGAAACCCAAGTACGGCACGCATGTTGCGAACGGGTTTGATGTGGGCATCGTGAGCAACTTTGTGGCATTGCCTTCGTCACGGGGAGACGATGTAGCGTCTGCCATGTTGTCGCTTCTTCAAAAGACGTATGTGTCTCTTCAATTTCCATCTCTTAAAAATACAGTTTATTTCCCTCTCTTTGCGGTAGAGCCGGCGTTCACCGCGCTGCATGTTCTTTCCACGACAGGTAGTACGTGCTTTGCGCTTCTTGTTTTACTCCACGGGAGACGCATTGTAACGGGAGGTTCAGATGGTAAAGTGATGGTGTGGTTGTGGGATGCATCAGCGGAGGTATACATAAAAGGACTTGTTTCAAGCGAAAGCCAGGGACATTGTGGACTGAGTCGTCACATTTGTCTTCTCCGTTCTCCAGACATATTTCTTTCTTGTGGTTACGATGATGGTTTGATAAAGGAATGGCATGTGTACGATGAACCGGAGCTGCTTATGCGTTGCGAGCGATGTCTCAGAGTTCTCCCTGTGAATTCGTATGCTGTCCCATCACACGTATCACCAATTATAGAGGAGGAGAATGCGGGAGGAATTTCCTGCGCAGTTTCTTTTCCGATGTTTCATGCGCTTTTTATTGTTGGTCTCTTTGAAAGTACCATTCAGACCTTTAGTTTGTCAGAGGTGCAGGGATGTACCCCGCCAGAAGATTATTTCTACAACGGCTATAAAACTGTGCGGTTGATACCATCTGTAACTGCAGATGTCTCTTGTGCTACTGGTGGTGGTGATGGGCGATTGGGAAAAGGGAATTATGCATCATCTATCTGAACCCTTTTCTCATTTATTTATTATTGTTGTTTTTTTGTTTTGTTTTTTGTTTTTGCTTTATGTGACGGTTTTTAATATGGCCTTTGATATTTACTATTACTATCATTACTCCCCTTTTTATTATTATTATTAATCTTCTTTGGACCGTGTGGCTGCGCTTTTCCTGGCTGAGCAGAGAGGTGTTGTTTGTATCCACTTTTCGTTTATGGCTTTTATCTTGATTGTGCCTCATGACTCTTTTTTCCTTTTTTCGTGTATGTATGTATTTGTTTTCCCTCCCTTTATGGCCTTTTCTGATTTTATTTTTACTTTCGCTTGGCGTCTTTTGAGGGTTTATGTCTGACGTCGCTCCACAAAACCCGATGGATATTTTGGCGGGTGCTTCCACGTTGTATGAAGCAATCGAGACGGTTTGCGTGATAAATGGGGACAAATATGTTGATTTCATGGTGCGGCTCCCCAAAGAAGACTTTGCCCGTCAAACGGAGGCGCTCTTGCACGCCATCTGTGAGTTGATACCCTCCGATCCATTCATGGAGGTGTTTGGTAAAACGAGGGCACCTGTTATGTTGATTTTTGCACCCATGCTCTTGTCAAGGGCAGCGGCGCTTTTGGCTTCTCCGCACTCCGACATATTTGCCCCTGACGCGGAGTGGCACGCCATCAGCATGTTCCTCATGGCGATACAGAGTGAACTGCTCGCCTCACCGGGGCAACGGGTGGTGCGCGTGACGGAACTTCCCGATCCACCACACATCTCTTCGATCCGGCACACGCGTGCATGGTCATCTATTCTTAATCAACCACTTTTAGAAGATCTGGTGCCGCTCCCACCCTCTACCCATAATCGAAGAAACGTCTTTGACGCAGCCAGCTTTGGGTGTGTGTTGTATTTTATCATATGTGGACTCGTACACTTACTGCAGATTATCTTAGCCGCCCCAACACGCATCGTTTGTGGTACGGGGACGCTGGGATTTTGTAGAGAAATTGTGCGCCTGCTGCTCACACCGACTGTCATCATTTACGGTTCAAAGGAAAGTAGTATCCAAATAGCCAGCGCCTCTCTTCTTGTTGCGGTAAGAGGAGTGCTTGACATGCGGGAGGCCGTGGGCGAAATGCGACAGGTACAATTGATTGAGCAGTGGATCACCGCCATCCGAAGTTGGTTTGATTTGACCACTCAATCTGGCAACGCTGCATGTATGCAGTTTCTCTTCCCCTACATGCTTTCGTCGGATATGTTGTTACGATAGTGAAAAAAAAAACTTGGTGCGGTTTTGCGCAGCGGCGTGGCAGGAGGTCTTTAAGTTGTAATTATTGTTGCGTGTGTGCTTGATTTTTCTGGTCTGTTCCTTCTGTATATATACTCACACGTTTATTATGTTCTGAATGATTTTCTCCATTTCTTGCATTGGTGTAATATAAATATAAATATGAGAGAGAGAGAGAGAGAGAGGAACGCATAAAGGAAGGGGAAAAAAGGAAAGAAAAGGACAGCAAGTAAAATAGCGGAAAGAAAAAAAAAAAGGAAGTTTCTTTTTTTTTTTTTTTTTTTTTGCATATTTGTACTTGTTTTTAATGGGCGCGCTTCATTTGCCTATCCCTCTGTTACTCGCGGTGTGGGTATCGCTGGTGGCGGGTGTCGTTATAGCCGGGGAGGACACGAACATGTACAGCGATGGCGAGACGGTGCGGGTGTATGGCAACAAGATCGGCCCACTGAACAATGCATTTGAAACGTATGATTTATTTCGGGTTCCCGGCTGCCCACCGGCCAGTTGGAAACAGCGGACGCCAACGTTAGGGCAGGCGCTTGTGGGTGACGAGCTCTATGAGTTAAACGTTTCGGTAAAATATGGCTTGGGTGTTGAGAAAGACGTCATTTGTAGCTTCACACCCACCGAGGAGGAAGTGGCTCGTTGGCGTGAGATGATTGTTGCGGACTACACGTACCAGCTCCTTATTGACGAGTTGCCACTTTGGGCGCCATTTGGAAAAGTGATCAATGCAGTACCCATGATTTACTTGCATCGTGACTTTCGTCTCGGCACAAATGGGCCACGGCTTGTTGATGCCAGAGTAGAAACGACGGCAGCCGAAGAACTTCTTGCGGGCAAGACGTATGTCTTTACGTATTCCACGCATTTTTTTCAATCGGCGGTCACGTTTGAGGATCGTTTTGGAAAGTACATGAGGGAGGAATTGGTTGAGCCTCGTATTCGATGGTTTGCCATTGGCAACTCTTTACTGTTGGCCGTCTTTCTTGTCATAGTCGTTGCGATTATTCTTTTTCGTATGCTTCGCACGGACTACCAACGTATTGAGAATGAACTTCGGTTGCGAGAGGAGGGAAATGAAGAACTTGTCGACAGCACGGGATGGAAACAGCTCTACGCAGACGTTTATCGCGTGCCTGCGTATCCATCGTTTCTGTGCGCTTTAATAGGCACTGGGGTGCAGCTTGCAGTGGTGTTTGTGCTTGGGACCGCGTCAGCAGCTTACTTTAGTTTGCGGAGGAACTCCTCGCAGGATGTCGTTACCGTTGTGGCTCTCTTGTATGCTTTCACCGGTGTAGTGGCAGGATGTGTGTCATCGGTGCAGTTCTTGTGGTACGCGACGTTAAGTCCGGTTCTTTCTAAGAAGTGGATGCGGTGCATGGAATTTACAATGTTTGTGTTCCCAATATTTCTCGTGTCATGCGGGAGCATTACAAACATTGTGGCGCATCTCCACGAGTCTGCACGGGCGGTGCATATTGGAGGTGTCACATTTGTTTTGGCATTGCTTGTTATTGGGTATTGTCCCTCTGTGGTGGTAGGGACCCTCGTGGGGCGGTATGGGTACCGACGGCGTATATTGTTGCCACGTGGCCATCGTAATTTGCCGCATGTGAACCAAATTCCCCGACTTATCCCCCTACCACCCAATTTTCTGCTCTCGACGAAGTTGTTTATTTTTCTTTGTGGCTCCATGCCGTTTGGTTCAATTGCATTTGAACTTTCTCTTATGTTAAGCTCGTTGTGGTTGAACAAACTTTACTTTTTTTACACGTTTCTACTGCTGACATTTTTGGTATTTGTGATAGTCACCTCTTGTATATCTGTTACCGCCACGTATGTGCTGCTTAATATTGAGAATCATCGTTGGCCATGGATTTCATTTGGATTTGGTGCATCTAGTGGAATTTACGTATACCTCTACTCCATTTACTTTTACGTCCACCGTACCACTATGAGTGGAGTTTTTTCACTTGTATTTTACTTTGTTTACTCCGCAACACTGTCAGTTGCTGTTGGGCTAATCGGTGGCTCCATTGCGTTTCTCACGGCCTCGTTGTTTGTTAAAAAAATCTACACGTTTGTGAAGTCTGACTAAAAATGAGGGAAAAACAGAAAAAAAAAAGAAAAAAAAAAGTTGGTTTTTGCGTCTCCGTGTGAATGCGGAGGAGAGGTAGAGAGAGAGAATCATGCAGAGGAAAAATACAGAGAAAGAGAGAGAGGGAGTGGCCTGGCATCGGGATGTGTGAGTTGGCGAGGGGGGGAAAGAGCCGCTGCGAGTCTTGTATGAACGAACGGCACTTTGATCCGCCGCCCCTCGCCCTCTGATGTGCATGTCATTAGCGATGAAGGGGGGGGGGGGGGGGGGGACTTCCTGTGAGGGGTGCCGTGTGTTTCCCGCCCAACTGCTCCACTCGCACACCCACCGACACGCTCATGACGACGGCCCTGTGCGCCTCGCCTGCTGCACGCATGAGGAGGGGCCGCGACGAACGGCGCGCTGAGGGAGCCGTGACTTGTGGGCGTGCGACGAGGGCCTGTGGGGCGGAGCACACATTTCTTCCCCTCTTGTTTTGTTTTTGCGGCCAGGGCTGGCAGACACCCGCAGCGCCACACACACACACAGCCACACCCTGCCGGGTTTTAGGGATTTTTTTGCTTTTTGTGTGCATTTCACGCGCTGGCAGTGCCGTCAGCATTTCTCTTTTCCCCGTGATGATTTTTTTTTTTTGCTGCGCTCAATTCCCTCCACACACAC